TATACATTATCATCTTAGAGATGGTTGCTCAAGTCACAGGATCAAAGCATACAAATTGGACATTCAAACAGTGAGACTGCAAACAGTTGTGTTCAATGATCCAACCAAAAACATTAATCCCATTATAGTTTTAAATAGTTCACACCATGATGAGCTCAAATCTGTAACCCTCCTACTCATTGCTCTCCAGAACCACACAAAAGTAATCTTTCTTGTGGCAGCTCTTTACATATGGAAGACAGCCCCTGTCCTTTCCTCCCTTGTTTTTCTCATCCTGTTCAATCTTTCTAGTTTCAGCCCTGACCAATGGATTTAAGGTTTCTTTGGTAACTAGAACAGCCTTCTGAAGACCAGCTTCCATCAGTCAGTGTCCAGTTGAAGTTGGCCCCTATGAGCAGAAAGAGTGGCAGATTGACTGTCTACCTCCTCCTGCAGGAAACTGAATCAAAATGGATTAAACAGTATCTATCAGAGCAGCAGCTATCTAACTTCCTTTCTGGGAATCAAAATCACTTAAAACAGAGAAATGAACTCTCCACAGTCTGATCTGGGGTAAAGACCCATTTCCCAAACTATGGAGGGAATCAGAGTGAATCCTGTATGGTGATGATCTCAGACAGCAGCTTGTATGAAAAGAAGTTTTAGGATAAAATTGTGAAAAGCTCTTAACTTCTGCTCAAATTGACTGTGAACATAGGAATGTGACTTCATTTTCTTTCAAAACTTGGCAGTTTGAAAATGTAAGAGTAACCTGAAATTCTATTCTTAACGGTTCCTACTTTCTTTGTCAATATGCCCACCTGGGTTGCTTCTATCATCATCTGTGTATCGGGTGTTCCTGGGCTGGAACCTCTAAAGCTAAGCTTCTTCCCCACCGAAGGCATTACATTTTCTCACTGCCTTTCACAGCAGATAGTGCAGATGACCAAAGAGACTCACAGGCAGCCTACTGTCTGCAAAGGGATCAAAAGGCCTCAGTCTATCAACATAGACTGCAACTGGAGGCAGCCTGGCCTGAGGGATAGAAATGGGGCAGGATCTTCCGTACTCCTCCACACAGCATCTTGGTCTGGCTTGAGGGAGGGGGAGAGGTGCGGAGAATTTGTGCGCCTGGGAGAAAACATTTAACTAGTCGTTCCTTCACACTCTCCCTTCCAGACTTGAAGAAAGAATTTTATTAAAGGTAAAAGTAAAGACTTGCTTCTTAGAAGAGGAAGAGTAGCCAAAGCAAAATTCGTTTAGCCCCAATTACATTTCCACACTGTTATGGTTTAGATCTGAAACAGCTCCCAGAATTCTTATGTGTACAAAAGGGGACTGGGTATTGGACTGCCGTGCTCAGTACTCATTCGTGGGTTCATCCACCACCAATGAGCTCAGTAACTGATTGAGCTCTGTTAGGAGGTGGGGCTGGCTGGAGCAGATCCCTTGAGGCTTGATCTGGAAAGGCACAGCTCAATCCTAGCCTCTGTGTCCTGACCACCGTGATGAGACCAGCTTTCCTCTTCCCTGGGTGCTTCCACCTGTGCTGTGTCTGCATCCAAACCTAACAACCGTGGACTGAAAATGTGAGCCAAATAAACCTCTCCCCCTTTTACATTGTGGGAGGTGGATATTTTGTCCCAGTGACAAGAAAGTGACAAAGATACACACAAAGGCAAAAAGGACAAAATGCTTTTCCTTTTCCCACTGGGAAAAGTTACTTCACACAGATTTCTTTTTGGTGCTCTTGCTGCCACTGACACTGCCTGTGGCTGTACTGTTCCTTGGTGGGGCAGGATGTGAACCTTGTCCTTTCCCACTCAAGGCATAGTGCAAACATGCAAAGCTTATTTAAACCCAAACACCAAGGAATGAGCCGCTGGCAGTTCCGATAAAACTAGACACTTGATCTAAAAAAGCACTTTCAAAAAATCAATGTGGAGGAAATCAAAGAGCATTATGAAACTCGTATTCAAGTTCGAATTGCCTTTGGCTGCTAGTAATGGAGTGAAGTGCTAAAACTAGATGAGCAGACTGATCTCACACATAAAAAATCAGAGCCAATATTGTTGCTCCTCGGTAGAGACCGTCACACCTTTGTCTTCACATCCTTAGCTTTGACTTCATCTACAAAATTATTTATGGTATAATATGCCAGCTTTCCAGCCATCATGTCATCATTCCATTTAGACAATAAGGAAACAACAAGAAAAAGCAAAAAGACACCTTCTATTATCTGATAGAGTTTTCCAAAAGGCCAATCCAACAACCTCCACATTTGTCTCATTGAAGAGGCATAGTTACATGACGATAGCTCAGGGAAGGCTGGGTATCATGACCTTTCAGGGAAGGATGCAACACTTAACAAAATGGGATTTTTTACTCTGAAAAAAATGGAGAATGAATATTGTGTAGCCAACCCGTAGTGTATACCACATAAAGCAAAGTCTGGTTGAATTGGAAAACAAAATAGATTAGGTAAGACTATCCCTGGGCAGTAAAGAATTTAAGAGTTGAAAGAGAGTCTGAGCATCCTCTTTGGCCTCTTAGGTCTACATTTCTTCCCTAACCTGGTCCTTTCCTTGAGTGGGCCGGAAGTACGGACTGTCTACGGAAATTCAATCTGATATCCTAGGGCAAAAGGAACTGGCTTTTGATAGCCATTATCCTGCATGGAACAAGAAGCTTCAGGTTTTTCAGATCACTTGTGAAAATGTGTCTTTAACCTAAGGAAGACAATAGACAATTTATTGTGGTATTGTGATGTAACAAGAAATATGTGTTTGGCCTTCACCTTTAGTTCTCAGCAAAGAGCTCCTAAAACCCTTGGAATTTTCTGTTTAAGTATCTTGTATTATTCATCATAAAGAGTCATATTTGCATTTATGCTAATGGAGTAACTCTTAGAGGATGTAGGTTGGTTGCCAGAGAAATCAACTCTGTGATTAGATGGCTGGAAATTTCATCCCCGCTCCCTGCCCACTGCTCTCTGCCCCCTGCCTTCCAGGAAGGAGGTGGCACACTTGCTTAGAAAGCTTTGTGCCCCTCCTCCACACCTTACCCTGTGCATCTCTTCCATTTGGTTGTTCCTAAGTTGTAGCCTTTACTTTATAAAAAGCTAATCATAGTAAGTACGGTGGTTTCCTAAATTCTGTGAGCTGTTTTTTGGCAAATACTGACCCCAATGGGGGAGCCATCCAAACCTTTCATTTACAGCCAGTTGGTGAAAAGCACAGGTCACACAACCAGACACTTGCAAATGGTATTTCAAACAAGGACAGCTTTGTGGGAGTGAATCTTTAACCAGTGGAATCTTTAACCTGTGCTAGTTTGGTTTTTTGTAGGACATGCAGTTGGTGTTTGGAAAGCTAAAGAGTTGCTTACTGGGGAAAAAAGAAAAAGCCAAGAATTTGGTGTTGAAGAACAATGTTCTTTTTAGTTACTCTATGCAGATATTTGAAAATGGCAAGGCACCCAGCTCCTTCGTAATAGAATTTATTTCATATGTGTAAGATGCTTAGGGGTGAGATTGTCACCCGCTAGAGTGAGTTTTGGCTCTATGATGAAAGTCAAATATGCACTGGCTCTTGAGCTGCTGCTGCTCCCCTCTTCTCAGTCCACTTAAGGGAAGGTCCCTGAACCAGCTTGCAAGACATTACCAATCAGCTGGGGATGTCTGCTCCATTTGTATAGTGGTAAAGTATAGCTCTGCTAACATCCCTGGGCTCTGAACGCTAGTTGTTACTTCTTTTGGTGTTAGTTACCCTCCTTGGACTCAGGAGCTCTTCTGGCCATGGGAAAAGGTAGCAGCTGGCTATTCTTGTTACTGTCTGGCATTCCCTGCTACTGGCCACTCTTAGTGTTACCAGCTCTGGCTGTTGGCAGCTTTCACATCGGTGGCCTTTGGTGTCACCAGCACCTAGTATAGCAGTCCAACATGCTCTGTGCATGACAGAAATCACACATAGGCAAGACAATGCTGTCTAGAAGATCTAGAGGGTTTCATTAGGACTTGTGCTGTAGCATAAGGAGGAGCAGTGCATAGGCTGAACCTGTCAAGGGTAGAGGAAACTGGTTTATAAAGAAAATAAAAAAGCTGCTTGCCCATGCACAGTGTCAGACTCTGTACATGCTCTTGGGTAGCTGAGGGACCCATGGGGGACCTTGATGAGGTGGCTGCAGAGTAGTTTCCACCCTTAATACCTGCCACAGCTAAAGCAGACATCTCTCCAAAAGACTACGGGGTGCCTGAAGTAGCCCAGGTTGCCTGCAAGGTGTTTACATGGACGGAAAGTACCTGTTGGAAGGTGTCAGGGCCTTCTCCACTGTCACACGTCACCTTAGGGAGAATAAGCACTATCACAAGTTCTACTCGGTTTAAACTTCTTATTACTGTAGTGAAATTTCTTAGCCTAGCTTTAATTTTAAGTTCCTACTTATAGGGAATTTCCAAAATGTTTTCAAGGTCATAGGAGATTTGTGTTCTCTGCTCATATACTTCAAATAACAGTGTAAACATACAGTTCTATGTATTTATTTCATAAAACTGGTTTTGAAAAAAAAGGTTGGATTTGACCTGTTAATAGTGCTCAGAATTTCAGAAGTTTGACAGTGACAGAGTATCAAGAACAAGACTAGATGTCATAGTAAACAAAGCTGTCCTAGTCTCACTAGCCCGATATACCCAAACTTACAGCTTAACTTTAACCATCTGTTTCAAGAAGAAAGAAAATCTACATGTGACAGTTCTAAAATGTTGACTTGTGACATTTATTTGCTAAGATAGTCTTTGAATCCTTTAGTTATAAAAAAAGATTATTGTAGGTTCTTCAAAAACATCTACCCCAATTATATACTATGTACATGTATAAGAAAAATATTGACAATGAGTGTCCCTAGATGCCTTTCTAAGGGAAATCAGGGATTTTTAAAATAAAGGTATGTTGGTATACTTTTTAGGGTATAAATATTTTGAATTTTTTGAATTTAATGCACCTGTTTGTTTATTCTCAACCCAGATCTAACTGGCTCAAAAGTCCAGATGATGATTCTGACCAGCTGTTTCGCATGGTGGCAGAGGTCTTCATCCTGTGGTGTAAATCTCATGTAAGAACACTTTTTTTTTAAATTTAAGGAGAAAAAGAAAAAAACAGAAAAAGGGTACAAGTAATACAAAATTTAAAAAAATAGACAGTAAGAAATCACTAGTTAATAGATTATATATTCTCATCTTAGAAATAGTTGTTCAAGTTACAAAATTGAAGCCTATAAAGTGGACTTTCAAACAGTGAGAGTGCAAACAGTTTTGTTCAGTGATCCAAAAAACTCAGTAATATGGTTATCTATCTTATACACTTAAACATATATGCAGTTATAACCTTTAGAGCACTTTCTTTTCTTTTCTTTTGTACAAAGACAATTACACATTTTGGGTTTTATTACTCCCACAGTTCTTATTACTTTTTTTGAAGAGAGTAAAACCAAATGCAACATATCAGAGTCAGTCAAATCAAAAGGATGGACATAATAGATAATGTAAAAACAAAATACAAGGTGATCAACAATGGTTACCATACTGCCTCTTGCTATTTTTAAGAAGAATTGCCAGTTATAATAAAATTGAACAAAACAGTAAAGAATAAAACCAGAGCATTGGAGACATTACAGGACTTTAAAAGAAGATAATAGACAACCGGAATGGGCATCATAATGAATCCTATTGTCTTCACAGTTTTGCCTATACTTTCGAACGTGGTACTATCAAGCAAAGCAGAATAGGGGAAAATCAGTCAAAACAAGATGGTGAGGGCAGTACAGGATTTCAAATCAAGTTAATAGGAAATCAAAGTAGGTTACTATAATGTATCCTGCTATTTTTTATTTATTTTGCCCTTAATTAATAAGATAAAAAGGAAAAAAGTAAATAATTTTTTAAAAGGGGGGGGGATTGAGATAAAAGAGGGCATAACAACAGGACAGCGCAGGTCAAAGCATAACCATTTAAGCAGAATAGTGTTTCACCACAAGATATCCTGACATAAAAATAGTTACCATAGTGTCTCTTTCCTTGAAATCTTTGAGTATAACTTCATATACTGTAGCACCAAACATATCAAGACACTATAAAACCATTCAAGAGAATGACATTATTACAGGGTATTTAGAACCAATTAACAGAAAATGAACAATGGTTTCTGTATAACCTCCTTGTCTATAAAAGTTTTTACTTACATTATCATATATAATAAAATCCAATAAGATACAACCTTTTAAGACCGATGGAGACAGAATACAAGTTTGATGGGACTTCAAAACAAAATGATACTAAATCAGCACTAGCTATTATGATGTCTTGTTTTCTCCAAAATAGCTGTTCCTACTATTCAACCTTCTCTGCCTCATTTCTGTTGAGCTCTTTTTCTGTCATTTGTTGTCAGTTTGTCTTCTTCATTTTGCTTTCTGCTCCATTCATTGTGGCCTCCCTGCCACTATTTCTGGAATCTTGGTATTTTCCTTTTTTAGAATATCCTGCAGTATTCTCTGTAAAGTTGAATTGGTGGTTGCAAATTCCCCTAGTTCCTCTTTATCCTGGAAGCACCTTGTTTTTCCATCAATTTCTAGGCACAGTTGTGCAGGATATATCAATCTTGGCTGGAGGTTATTATCTTTCAAAGCTTGAATTATTTCTCCCCACGCTCTTTGTGATTTGATGGTTTGTGCCGAGAAGTCTGCTGTAATTCTGATGGGTGTGTTCCCTTGTAAGTGATCTGTTTCTTGTCTCTGAAGGCTTTTAATATTCTGTTCTTATATTGCATTTCTAGAATTTTGATTATTATATGCCTGGGTGTAGCTCTGTTTGGGTTGTAGATGGCTGGGGTCCTGTATGCCTCATACATCTGAGTATCTTTACCATTTGCTAAATTAGGGAAATTCTCTTGGATTGTTTCTGTGAATAGCTTTTGTAGTCCTTTTGTTTGTGTCCCTACTTCTTCTTTTATGTTCTTAATTCTTAAGTTATAGATCCTCTTATTATCTTCTAGCCTTTGTATTGTTGCTGTTTGATTTTTGGTATTTTTAAGAAGTTTTTCATTTCATGCTCCCATATTACAAATCTGCCCTCCAGTTCAGATAATCTATCCTTAGTTTCTTTCAAGCTGTTATGCCAGTTTTCGATAGAGTTTTTAGTTTCCTGATAATCTCTTTGAACCTGTTTCACGTGTTCTATGTCTTCTCTATTTTCTCCATCAAACAATTCTCCCCTTTTTTTCTGTTCTTCCATTCTACCATCTGTTTTTTCTTGGGCAGTGTTTAGCATTTCTCTAACTATTCTATTTATATCTTGCTTCAGGTCATTAATAACTTCATTCCTGAACTCGTCTATGAGGCTCTGGAGATAGCGCTTTATGTCTATTGGTGCCGTGTCTGATATTGCGTGTTTCTCAGGATTGGGGGTCGAGGACCCTTTTTTGTTGCTCCCTCTTCCCACGTTTTTTGTTCCTTTTATACAAGCAAATATAAGAGGCCCAGTTTCTTTCTTTGTCGGTTGCAGTTTGTTTGAATTGCGCCGGAAGGCTTCACTGCTAGGGTGCACCTCCAGGTGCTGGGATCTGGTTTGGGCTAGCCTACTGGGTCTTAGTCAGCGGCGTCACCCAGGCCAGGAACTGCCCACCAATCCCACTTGAGAGGGGAATATGTGACTGAAGTCACTGCAACAACCTGTTCCGGCTAGTCTTCCCGGTCCCAATATGTCCTTTGCTGAAGCCTCCAACTCTAATGGAAGGGTCCCCAATCTGCTCACTCACCGCAAGTCGATGCAAGGCTCCCGGCCAGTCCCATTCTCAACTCCATTCACCACTTTCCACTCTCAGAGCTTTCGTGCCTCTCTCCTTGCCGTGCTGATTGGGACGTAGTAGTGGCTGCAGGAAATTCAAATCACAGCTTCCAGTTGGTACGGGGTCCAGCTTCCACACTGAGACCTTATCTGTCCCTGTTATATCACCAGGATGGGGTTTCCAGTTGGTTTCTTCTTAGCTTAGTTCATTCCTGGGTCGGCAAAGTATATCTCCCCTTGCTTAGGATTTCTCGCCCGGCACCATTCCTTGATTTTAAGTGTGGTTTCTCAGAGAGCCTCCGAAGCTACTGCTATCTGTCTGCCATGTTCTCCCAGAAGTCCGTCATAAGAACACTTTTGAGCTCTAGATTTTATGAAAGCTTAAAAGACTTTCTTGTAATGATTACTTTTTATTTCCTTCATTTAGAACTTCAAGAGAGAAGAGCAAAATTTTGTGATTCAAAACGAAATTAACAATTTGGCATTTTTAACTGGAGACAGCAAAAGCAAGATGTCAAAAGTAAGTCCTTACAAATCAGTTCTGAAGACTCTTGACCTGACCTTAGCCATGCCTAGGATCTATCCAGGTTTTGGGGGGATTAGAACTCTACCTCATTTAGATCAAATTCCGTTAGCAACAGTCTCTCCTGTTGTTTCTTAGAGAATGAACTAGAAGAAACGGCTCTTAAATAAGCATGGTCATCATGTTTTATGAATTAATAACTGCTCATGTGTCAAAGAGTTTAAGACTCAAAATTTACCTAAGGCATTCAAGAGGCCTCTAAAACAAACTTCATTTAAAAAAAGAAAACTTCATTTGATGGATGTAGCTGGGTGCTATGGTGGCTGCCTGTAATTCCAGAACTCTGGGAAGCAGAGGCAGGATGATCCCAAGTTTGAAGCTCAACTTCACAAGACCCTTTCTCAAAAATCAAAAAGAACTGGGAATATAACTCAGTGCAAAGACTCTAGATTCAATACCTTGTGCCACAAAATATAAAAATGAAAAAGAAATACACATACTTAGAGCCACCTTTCAATTATCAAGAAAGAAATTAGCTTGCTTCGAAGATTTCAATAGCAAATGCTCCTATATTTTGCTTGTTTTCCTCCTGTTCAGAACATCAAATGCCTAATTTTTTTTGCAGATGTGCTAACCTTTTAATGCCTTCCATTTATTTTCCACTCAGAAAGCCAAGCATTTGTCCATCTCCCTGCAGGAAAGGTTTGGAAGAGGGCGTACCAGACATCTGTCTGGGGGGTAAAAAACCTAGGGAGGAGAACAGCTGGGGTCTGTGAAGGAGCAACTGGTTTCCTGGCTCTTCCTGAGTCAGGGCTGCATTGTTTAGATTGGAGAGACTTCCCAGACACAGTTCTTCTGGTGCACGCGCAAAAGCAAAGCCCCCTTTAATGTGATGTCTTGTTATCAGCTGTTGTGGCTTGCCCTTGACCCTGTTTCCCCAAGAACTGGGCCTCAGAGAGGATGGGTTGTATATGTCATACTTGAGATATACGTCTCTCTCATTGGCAGGACAGTGCCACCTTTGAGGAATGTGAAGGTGGCGTGTGCATGGGGACCTTCAGAAATAAGGTTCAGTGCTGCAAAGAAGGGAATCATCAGTTTGTAGCAAAGACCTTGACATAGCCTTTTGGGATGAAAGGCCATGTTTATATAACTGCAGCCGAAGGGCAGGTGAGACATCAAAAATGAAGGCCAGCAACTAGTGCTCCACCAGGTTTTAAGCCAGCATGGTTGTCTGCAATCATTCTAAACTTTGTTTCTTCTATGTTTTAGCTATGTTGACCCCAGCACTTCTTCCAGCATCCAGAAATCAACTGTTGGAGTTTAGAATCCACTCAAGCATACACTAGTATTCACTTTCAGTATATGCACCATTTAATAGAGTCAGGCTAACAAAATTGTGCACATACAAAACAGAAATTACATTCAAGAGGAATCTGAACTGCAAAAAAAACTTTTCATGGATCCTTTTGTGCTTTCGATAATTTAATTTGATTTTCCAAAAATTCATTTTACCATTCATGTTTTGGTAAATATATCTGCTGTTCAGATCAGATAGGATTTCTTGGAGTCCAGCTCCCCAAAATATGTAACTTGTGTGAGGTTGGCTCTGCAGGCTGTTACAGCCAGCATGTGCTCTCCTTTAATCCTGTCTTCCCACAGAAAATCAATAAACCCCAGGCAAATTCCATGCTTTCTTCAGGCAGTGTAGACCTGCTGGCTGAGGACTGAACCAGCTAGGATCTCTGATGACAGGCAACAATGGCAGCAAGGAAATGACACTAATAGAAGGATGTGGATTTCCAGGGAGCAAATGACAAAGACATCTCAACACCCTGATGATTAATGGATACTCAGGGCCCTTGGTTTACATTTGGAGAAAGATGAGGTGACAGAAAATGACACTTCAGAATTCACCTACTAATAAACTAACCTGCTTCTGTTTGCTCTCATCACTGAGCGAGGAATTGGGATATTTGTTTTATCAGAGGATGGTTCTAAATCTAGGCATTTTCTCTGCTGGAAAAATGCAAGAGCAAACTTATTTCATTTCCATTGACATCATGCACCCATTATTTCTGAGCCAAATAAGAGAGGGTCAAAGCTATAGTGTAACTGGACTAAGAGACTCTGTCCGTAGATCTTAAATAGTATTTGCCTTACTCCCCAGGGTGACAAGCACCCAAATATATCAGTTGAAACAGAGTGTAGTAGAAAGTAAATTGAAAGTAAAAAAGGAAGCTAAGTTCTACCCTTGGTCCGGCTTCTGATCTCAGTTGCATCCTTAACTTAATTCTTCGGCTGCCAACTTACCAATCTGTACAGTAGTGTTAAGCTTACTATAGATTTTCCTAACTCCACCAAGACATTCAGGGCAAAAGTCAGCTTTCAGCAGTATCTCTAGGACACAATAATGTTTGATAAATATAGTGCATTATTTAAAACAGAGAGATACTATGCCTTCAATAAGCAGCAACTCAGAGCCACTTCTGGGATTTCTTTAGATGTGGAGATATGTACTGAGGAGCTGGGGAGAGGGTAGGTATTCTTCTGTATCATCAGTGGAATCTCAATTGCCTTTGATTCCCTGGATTAGACGTTCTCTCTGCCCCCTGGTCTGAATGGGCACCTATCTCCTTTGCTTGCTTTTATCTCTGCTCCTACCTGAATTCTGGTGTTGTATAAATGAAATCAGCATCTGGCAGCCTTGGTGGGATCACATACATGAATGCCGCGTGCCACACACACCTACATATGCCAGTGCAAGTAGACAGGAAGTGGAGAAAATACACACCAGGCCATACTCTCATACTTGACTAACTGAAGCTTACTTGACAGATACGTCATTTTGGGAAGCAGCTCATACAAATGATGTTTTCAGAGCTCATTGTATATTTTGTTTATATGACACCAGTTTGCAAATAGGGTAAGCCAAATGTAACTAAGCTGAGCAAGTGTTTTGTTTTTGTTTTATTTTTAAACTTGTGTTGTTTTCTGGAAAAATGGCAACAGCGTCCTTAGAGGGGAATGGTAAGTTAGAATGTGTTTAGCACAAGAAATGCCAGTTCCATGACCAAGATTTAAAACTTTAAAACAAAATTTTTTAAAAGTTAAAGCAGGAATGTGGGTACCTTGTGTCTAAAGCTAACCCCGCCCCTCTTCCAAGCATGATTACAGTGGATTGAAAAGGGATAGGGATTATTTTAGAAGATTTCTTTTAATTTTTCAATCAGTTTTCAATCAGGGCAGTCAGTTATGTGAGCTTCCTTCTTGCTCCAGCATCCTCGCTTACTGTTCTCATATTTTCTCTCTCTCCATCTCTCATCTCCTCCTTCACCTCTTCTGGTCTCGTTCTGTGTGCTTGCTTTCTGGCACATTCTCTTGCTCCCCTCCCACTCTCTAGTGACCTTCCTTCCTTTCTTCCTCCCCCTCCCTATTCTCTCTCTCTCTCTCTCTCTCTCTCTCTGTCTCTGTCTCTGTCTCTGTTTTTCTGTCTGTCTCTCTATCTCTATCTCTATCTCTATCTCTATCTCTATCTCTATCTCTATCTCTATTTGTCTCTCTTTCTCTCCCCAATTTCCAGAAATTCTCCTTTTCCTCTAATACCTCCTGTTGAGTTCACTAGTCTTCACTTATCCTCACAGTGAGGTAAAGACTTACCATGGTGCAGTTTGCCTTTGTTAGAGCCGATGCAAACTCCCTGCGCTGTCTTGGTGCAGAATATCACCAAGTGATGTGTCTTCAGCAGACTCTCTTATCTCGGAAAGGCCTAATTTTTTTCCCTTAAGGTCCACACATAATATCATCTGTGTGATTACAAATTTCTGCTGATAGTTTACGATCTAAGTGTGGGAAATAAAATTACTTTGAAAGTATTGAAATTAGAGAATTTCAATGAGTCAACTAATCTTAGAAATATGTGAAAAAAAAGAATAAAAGTAGAATCCATTAGATGTAGGAACCTTTGACCTGAGACACTTTTAAAGGTTACAGTCTAAGAAGGAGGATGCTCTACCCTTCAGGTTGGGGGATGATCCTGACCCTCTTTAGATATTCTTAGAGTACTGTTTTTAAAGCAGTCTTTTGAGCAGAAACACAAGCATTTTTCCTTGACTCAGTTCTCCTTTTTATGGCCACAGATTTGCTGGAGTCAATAATATGGTGGGTGAAAGGAAGAACAACAGGGACCTTGGTTTGCATTGTGGATTGTCTCTTGCCTGCCATAGTGAACAGAAGGAAGGGGGAAGGGGAAAAGCTTTACATCTCCAGAGTTGTATGTGTGCCAAATCTGAAGGCCACCCTGGCTTGGATCTGAGGACCACACACTCTGGAAAGCTGATCTTTGAGCTGAATGACCTCCCAGCAAGGGTAAATTGCTTAGTCTGGGTGTAAGTCTTTATGACCACATTAACCTCCATTCTAACCTCCTTGCTCTTCATTCTGTGTACATTGGCTCCAAGAACAGCTTCTATTGTGTTGACTGATGAACTGGGACTGAGAAGATAGGAATAACATGTGGTACCATGTGCCTTGGACTCCTGCTTTTACTGACTGACTCTTCTACTTGTTTCTCTTCTTTTGTCTTTCCACACAGGCCATGCAAGTAAAGGTACAGGTCAAATGCATGACGTGTCTTTTCTGTCCTAGTAGTAGAGGTGCCAGGCTCTGGCCCGTTCTGCACTGTGATCATCATGGGGGTGGTACAGAATGGATTTACCCACCTGGAGGTCCCCAGGCCTGCTTCAGGGAAGACAACTGCCTATCAGAGTGAATGTAGGCCTGCTACCCTTGGAATGGGGAAGCCGGGGAAGCCAGCCAAGCCTCGCCCTAACCGAGGTCTCCTTGCTGTCTCTGCTCCCTTCCCCAGCTGTCTTCTCTGTTAGTTTGGCAGCCACCATGCTCACAGAGAGAGAGAGATGATTGACAGGGCTTGAGAGCCTGGGAGACCACCTCTTCTGTGGTGGTACCCCAGTCATAATTCTATTTTTTCGTTGGTGACCCTAGCCCTTTCACATGGTATGCATTCTGTCTCTTTGTTCAAGGGTTCCCTGAGGCAAAGAAAGTCTTCCAAGGTCTGAACTCAAGGGTTTGAAATCAGTAGATAACACCAAGTTTGTGTACAAACTGTTTTGAATAGAACTGGGACAGTTTTCCGATTGTCCTTAAAACATACTATGTGGAAGTTCCTTTCTTTGCATTCATTAATGTGTATACACTGCTATTGTCCTAAACCAGTGGTGGAGAAACTTGTATGCTGCAGTGGCCTGTTTGTATCATTGAGAACTCTAAAAAGTTCACCATGGCTGTTTAATCACTCTACCCTTCAGTATGTGCTGGAGATATGTTGGGGTCAGGGCACGTGCAATTCTTAGTTACAAAAAGAAAAATGGAGTCTTCTCAAGACAGACTTACATCTTGATGCTTACGTGTTGTATGACTTTGGGAAAATTATGTATCTTCCATGGGCAGCATGTTTTCATTTATAAAACTGACTTGCTAATATTTCAGGGTCATTGAAATCATATATGTAGCAATTCTGACTAGAATATACAATTGGCCAAATCAAATAGATAGTGATCAGGAAATAAATTATGTAATCAAATCCATAATTACTTTTTAGCATACTTACTTCATTATATACCTTATATCCCCATTTACATTTTATGTTTTATAGTTACATGATACCATATAGTTTATCTATATATATAACCGCATTCTTTCCTTAAAGGATGATCGGAACAATTTCAAGGGTAATCAGCTCTAAGTGAATCTGAGATTTAGACACTCTATTACATTTGACCTTTGATGGTGGAATAGAGAAGGAACCTAGCAAGTTCTCCGTAAATGGCAGAAACTGCAGTCTTGGTACACACCAGTCTTCAGCACCCACTATGCCCCAGAACACAGGAATCCTCCTTTCCTTAGCTTTGTTTCTGTCTCCATGCATATTTTTCACTGTTCCTTCCACTGCTTCCCTGGGGCTGATCTGGTCTTTTGGAGCATTGGGGCGGGGGGGCGGGCGGGGAGTCCCTGCAAATTGCCTGGCTGTGTTTAGCCAGCCTAGGTTTTTCAAGTCAAGAGATTTTTTATGATTTCTGAAATATAACTACCTGAAGGTTACTAAGTAAATTCTGACACAGTCTTTTAGCCCCCAGTCTTAAGTACCAGTTACCTCTCCTACTCCGAGACCTGTTAACCAAAGAGCTGCCACCTTTTTGCTTCAGATATTGCCATAAAGAAAAGTTCTGGTGACCACCAGCTCTTTCCGGCATAGTCTCTGACTGATTTCTGGCCACCTAGCCCTCCCAACTCCCAAAAGGTGTTCATTCAGCTGAAGTGGAGTCCAGCAAGCAGATGACACATGGCTAGCACTGCCCTTTCTGAAAATATGTCACAAAAATTGGGTCACCGCAGCACCCTGTTTCCTTGAACCCAATCACATGTGTTGTGGGTCCTGGGAGTCTTGGTTGTTGCCATGGGCTGCCCATGTCCATAGCGCCATGTGCTGAATATGTCTCTCATGCCTCTGGCTTCACTGAATGAACTTTCTCAGGAAGGGACAAGAACTATGACCAATAGGTGCAAACTCCCATGGACTTGAGGAATTCATTTTATATGTGCAATTCCTCTTCTAACATTCTCCCATCCTTATCCCAAGGCATCCCTTCTCTATAATGTCCTTTTTTGGAGAAGTTGCATAGCCCTGTGGTGGGGAGTCTAAATGGGGTTCCAGTGCTCCAAACACTAGCTTCAGACCAACTGCACTGTGGTTGATGCTTTTCACATTCTTCCTGATTCTCCTGTAAGGGTCCTCAGTTATTTCCTGGAGTCATTTCATCAGTTATCAAATTGTTCTTTTTACAGAACACCCACTTCTTTGTTCACCTGGTCCAGAAGCGAGTGAGCAAAGACTGTAGTGTCTGTGGTATGTGTCCAGTTACGTGGTTCTGTGTGCATGTGCAAAAGAAAAGGCTTAGGGCTAGGGCTGGTCTTTTAGGGCCATTTGGTTTGCCAATGCTCAATAGTCTTTTTGCTGTCTTTGAAATGTAGTAAGGCCAACCCTGAACTGGCAGGGCCACCAGGAGGCAGGTTGCCTCTGAGATGAGACAGTCTTCTTCAGACAGTCACTGACCCTTCTCTTTATTTCTACATCATCTCCTAGTCTGGAGGACAGGACCAAGAACGGAAGAAGACAAAGCGGAGGGGAGACTTGTATTCTATCCAGACCTCTCTCATCGTGGCTGCACTCAAGAAAATGCTGCCCATTGGTCTGAATATGTGCACCCCGGGAGACCAGGAGCTGATCTCCCTTGCAAAATCACGATACAGCTGTGTAAGCTGCCTGACTGATTGGGCTGGGGTTGCAGCAAGGTGACATTATGGTGGCCACTTGGCCTTGGAAGGGCTGATCCTCCTCCTCCTGGAGTGCAGTGGGGCTGGAGTAAGTGAGCAGGTACCTAGGGGCACAGAGGCAACACACCTTCATTATCACAACTGATGAGGACTCAGTAGTTGGACACAGCCTATGAAATTTTTACTCTTTTGTTCTAATAGCCCAGAAAAATTTCATTGGCTGTTCACACATATCTGTATCCTACTTTGTATTTTCACCCTGATGTCTAGGAATAAAGTTTAACATCTCTTTCCACAGAGGGATACAGATGAAGAGGTCAAGGAACATCTGCGGAATAACTTGCATTTGCAAGAGAAGGTGATACTGCGGGAAGACCGGGAGAATCACACAGGCTGCCTCTCCTTCCCACTCAGGGGCCCACCCTCTACTTAATGTACTTGTGGTTTTAAGTATGTCCTAAAAACAGTGTGGAACTGGGAGAACTAGCTTTCCACCTTCAGTTTGTGCTCTTTGCTTTTGCAAGAGGTGTGCAGTAAAGCAGGTCTTCCTGCCACATGAATGTCACACCGTGGGGAGGAGAGGGAAGCACTGTGTCTCAAAAGTACTATGCGTCGCACTAAGTGTGACCCACACACCTGGGGATGCTTTCAGCACCTCCCGCTTGAGAGAGATCTTGAAACAAAATAATTTTGTATCTGAGTTGAAATATTCAAAAAAGAGATAGAATTTTTATTTTAAGGGTTATTTGTGATTTCTTCAGTCCTGTGAATCTGAACAACTCTTTCCTCACATACATTGTGCCCTAAAATGGAGAACTAAATCAACCCAAAAATGGCTTACCTCTCCACCCCAAACATATATGAATGGGGAGTAAAGGCAATAACAAGAAATCCCAAGGACTAGGAAAAACAACATTCTAAATCTTAGTAATATTTGTGTGTGTGTGGTACTGAGGATCACTCATGACCTTGCACTTGCAGGCAGGCACTTATACCTCTGAGCTAAATCCCTGGCCCTAAACCCTAGTAATTAAGAGAAGTCATTGCTATTTGGAGAACTCCCAGAGTGCTCCAGGCTACATATACACCATAGAGGCTGGAGTGTTTAATGACCTGAAAGAGGGTTGTGGGACCTGCATAAACACAGCATGGGAAACTTACCTAAGATTAGCAGGGAACCAGTGGAACTCATGGGTCTCCTGCAGAGCAACCATGAAAGCACTTGAAGCATCTCTGCTTCCTAAATAAAATATCGGCTAAGATGCCAATTAATAAAACTACTCTTGAAAATAAACTCATAGAAAGTAGGAAGGAAACTGTTACTGGACAAGAGGAAGGGAATGGGGGAAGGACATAATGAAATATAATAGAGGTATTAATACAATCATAATATGTCACATATGAAAATACTGTATTGAATCCGAGTATTTGTCAAATTAATGAGAACAAATAAAAATATATTTGAAAATAATCAAGTTAGGGAAATGTGCCACAATCAGAGAGTTAAGAAATACAGAAGAATAATTCATGCAATGAAGAACTATATAAAATAAATATAGTTAAAATATTTAAAGACAAAGGAAGCATAAAGCAATAGAACCCATGAAGCAATAGTAGCACATTTTTCAAAAAGGAGAGTGGGAGATAGGTTTGAAACAAACAAACAAAAAACTCATAGCAATTACAGTCACTGAAATTTTAAAATCAATACATGAGTTAAAGCAATAAGATAGACATTACTAAAAAGACAATTTATAAACTGAAAATTTGCTTTAAGGAAATTATCCAAAATGCAGCACAGAGAGATAAAGCTAGAGAAAATATGACACAAGTGCTGGAGAAGATGAGGGAGAGGCAAGAGAGACTCGTGATTACCGTGGAACCCTTGTGGGAGTCAAAGGCTTTTTCAGCATAAGAGATATCAGAAATCGCTTATTTTATGGGTGTGTTTCACTTCCCAGTCCGATGACCCAGCTGTAAAATGGCAGCTGAACCTCTATAAGGACGTTCTGAGGAACGAAGAGCCCGCTACTCCCGAGAGGACGGTGGAGCGTGTGCAGAGAATCTCAGCAGCCGTCTTCCACCTGGAGCAGGTAAAGGGTGTCTGCTCAGAGGAGTGAAACGGAAAGACTGCCCTGGAAAATAAACGCAAAATTGTCAGCCGTCAGTTACAGATGCCTTTGCAGGACAGAGGACAGGAGGCAGAGGTCACCCCACATCACTCCCAGGTCATAGCAGGCCCCTCAATTCTTCCCCCTCCTGCTGTTTTAAACATTCTTTTAAACAAGTTCTTCCTGCTTCCTAATATCAGTGAAAAGAGGAACAAGGGAGGGAGAGAGGGGAGGAAAGACAAAGGAATTTTAAAAGGGAATTGAAGGGGGAAAATGGAGACAGCACTTCTGTAAATGCAGAGGGGAAGAAGGGCTGACAGAGGAAAAGGAAATGAGAAAAAAATGAAGGTATATTATGTACAGGTACGAATTCCTCTGAATGTGGTCATTATGTATGATAAACAAACACAGTAATACCTTAGTTCACAAACACTTCTGTGTGCAAACAAGGTGGTTCTCAAACAAAAGTGCTCCATAAAGTTTTGCTTCTATTCACAAACTCCACATTGGGTGACAAACACAGCAGCAACCACCTTCCCCACACAGACACAAACACAGTCATCTCCTCCAAAATCATCAAACAAATTTAGTTCATGAACTGGGATACCACTGCAGTAATAAAATGATAAATTAATTTTAAAAACTCTTGCCATTAGCTCACATGTCTTAAGTACCCTCCCATAGCAAAGCTGCTGTTCAGCAGTGATTGACTGATTGCTTTTGGGAAAAGAAAGACAATTGAAGGCTTTCACAAATGGCATCCTCTAATACTGAGTACACTGTGCTGATTCTTCAGGGTTCACAAGTTTGGGCTATCTTCTGTCACTCAGAGTGGCCTAGGGTGAACCTATGAGTATGATTTCTTCTCAGGTGGAACAGCCTCTGAGATCCAAGAAGGCCGTCTGGCACAAACTACTGTCCAAGCAACGGAAACGGGCAGTGGTGGCCTGTTTCAGGATGGCACCGCTCTACAACCTGCCCAGGTATGGATTTGGTCATTTTCTTCTGCCGTGTGAGCCAGTGATGAGAATGAAGGAATCTTTTCACAGCTGTGCTCTCTATGGCCCTTACACTCATCACGCCAAGGACTAAAATTAGACTCCTTAGCCCTGGAGCTATTATCCCCTCAGAGTATACATGCCTGTGACACAGTCAAGGAATGAAAAACTGAGACCAGGTGAACTTCCCCAGAGTGCCATGCCTGTTCAGCCTACGGTGTGTACCGTAGAGTCAGCCAAGGAAGAGCATGGAGACTCTCTGTGTGCCAAGGTAGGATTCTTTAAGAGGATAGAAAGGCTTCTTTAAAAAAGGAGAGGCTTTCTAAAATGTCTTACTCCAAATTCCATTGACAGGTCAAGCAACATTTCTCTGTTCTGGCATTCGACACCATCCGGTAGAGAAATGTAACTTGCAAATCCAGTAGTGCAGTATACTTATCAACAAGATGAAGAAGGTCTAGGATGCCCTCCAAGAGGCCAGTCAGTGGCAGTGCTTTTATCTCAGTATTTTAGTCCACACTTTGAAGAAAACAGGTTGTGAAGATTTTTCTGGAAAGTGTATGAAACATCCTGTGTCAACATATGGAAGAATGTCAGCTTTCTGTCACCGTGACGAGATGCTTGAGATGCATCAATTTAAAAGGAAGAAATGTTTATTTAATTCATGGTTTCTGAAGTTTCAGTCCAGAATTGCTTGGCCCCATTGCTTTGGGCCTGAGGCCAGGCCAAAGATCACAGCAGGGACTGTGTGCACAGCACAGATGCTTACCTCATAGTACCAAGGCAGTGAAAAGAGAGCCAGAGACGAGGAGGGCCCAGGGCCCCAGGGCCACCTTCAAGGGTGCACCCCACACAACCTCACGTCTTTCTGCTAGTCTCACTTCCTCAAGTTTCCACCACCTTCCGGTTTTGCCACTGGTTGGTGATCAAGCCTTAAACTTATAGCCTTTGGGAGACACTTAGGATCGGTATCATAGCAGTGTCAGTGACAGAGTGGCCCAGCATCAACCACTAAGACTGACAGGGCATCTGTGGTGCTATAACACCCTCATTCTCAGACTGATTACAGTGATCAGGCCTGTGATCAGAAAGCAATACTGGTGATTAAATAGCAACCTCTGTTTCAATCTCCAGATCACTGGGAATAGCTTTATCTGGTTAGAGAAAATAAATTGACTTGAAACAAGCTTATCCTGAATCCCATATAAATAAGTGTGTTTCTTTGGAAAATGAGATAAGAGAAAAACCTATGTATGGCCTTTGTTTTCATCAAAGTGTGAATCTTGGCCATCATTTACCCAGAATGGCCTATAACCCTATCTGGACACAGCTGAGCTTTCCTGGTGAGGGGCTTCAAAGATGGTGGAGAATCATGGTAACTGAGATACACCTGCTGGGACAGCACTTTCTTAAAACAGATTAATATCTTTAAAAGGGAACAAGACATCACTAAATCAAGTAGAGTTCATGAGTACAAAGCTGACAAATTAAGTTAAACAATAATAGACATGAAAGCTGCTGAAGTTCTGGTAGAAAAGTGAAATTCATATCCCTGTAAAAAATTTTAAAATATATGGAGAAATTTTGTTTGCTATCCAGAAGTAATGAAACATTAGAAATCATATACTTTTCAAATGTGGATTTCAGAAGAGCTTGACTCCAAATACAGGTCTCCAGGGGCAGGCTAGTGAAGCAGAACTCACTTGTCTCCAAAAAAAGCAATTTTTCTAAGTCTATTGAAAATGTTAACATTATACTGTCATAACTGAGCTGTTCCTTCAGGTGTAAGAATAAATCCAAGAATTCACTATGTCTTCAGGAAAACATGGCCTTGCCTAACCCAGGTGTTCTGGGCTTTCACTTTAGCATGGAGGATTCTAAGTAGGCTTCATAACACAGCAACTAAGAGGCTGAATACATCTCAGATAGAAATAGCTGCTTCCCCACCTTGCAATGACATGAACTGTGTGTAGTCTCCCAAATTAAAAAACTAAAAATATTTATTATATTATGCAGAAACTGTTTCTCTGGTGTTAGTTTTTAAAAGAAAACCTGTATGCTTTTCTCCAGACACAAAATTAACAATTTCTTCCTGAGCACCTTTCAACGGGTTTGGCTGGAAAAGGTTAATGAAAAAACTCAGTATGACAGGCTTATACCCATTTTAATGGTAATGTAACCTGTGGAGAGACTGCTCATTTTCTGCACATTCCTATCTTCTTAACCATGATTTAATGTTACCATGAAAACACAAATTTGTACAATTTTAAAAGGACTCTGATTGGTCAGATTTTTAAAGAAAAACAGCAAAGGCTATATTTTACCAAAACTATGACCACATTTTAATAATTCTAGTCTTGATCTTTTTCTTTCTTTCTCTCCATCCTTCCTTCCCACTCCCCTCACATTTGACAAACACTGGGCTAATGTTCAGTGGCTTGTAAATATTCCCAAAAGTCCATCCTGGCTGGTAGGCAATGCCATATGCATATTCCTCAGGGTTCCCAGACACCAGAGCCAGAGTCAGAGGCCCTGAGGTACCTAGAAGATGTGCTCATGAAGCAGAGACCCATGTTCCACCTTCCTAAAGAAAAGTCAGAGCTCCTTGCTGGTGTGGTTCCTTACAGAAGGAAATGTTCTCAGTACAGCGGAGACTAAACCGCTCACCATTATGGTGGATTACATTGGATTATCTGGGCAAGTGGCCAGCCTATGGGAATGACTAAATCACCATCTGAAGCAAATACTTGTGGACTCTCACTTAAACTGATTCCTTCTTCCTCCCTAGAGGGGAGACCAAATTAAGATTACAGTCACTGCCACATCTCATTCTAACCATGGTTACTTTCAGAAGGCGCACAGATATTTGGGAGCTGATTATAGGGTTCTTTGAAACAAATGTTTATGGTGTGCTGCTGGCTACCCTGACCAATCAGAAGACCAAAATTGTACAAAAGTCCGTCCTGCTTACTAACTGTTAACCACCAAAACTAAAACAGTGAGTCCATGGACCCCTCTTGACCTCCCTCTCACCCCTTCCGCTCAGGCACCGCTCTATTAACCTCTTCCTCCATGGCTATCAGAGATTCTGGATAGAAACAGAGGCGTATTCCTTTGAAGAGAAACTAGTGCAGGATTTGGCTGTAAGTACTGACCCAACGGGAAGCAGACTTGGGTATGAATGAATTTGACTTTTGTATTCAGGCGTGTGTGTGTTATAACAAATGAACATTCACAAAGAGCTGCTATAAATTTGGAAGGAACTAACTGTAAATTCTCAGGGGAGACCAGGCTAATGGTCATTAGAGCCAGAGGATGAATTTTCACTTGGAGGTGCTAACACTAACTTCACCCTCACCCTCATCGTCCTTGGCAACTAACACTTCTTGAGATGTGTAGCCGTGTGGTGGGGAATTCCCGCTAAGTTTTGAGCACCATTGGTTGCAGGAGGCCACCTCAGACCGAAGTCCACATTCCTAATGTGGAGCTCTGCTTTGAGGAAACACATCTAAACACCTTCCTGATTGTCTGTGTTGGTCCTTTAGAAAATTTTGTGTGCCTTCTCATTAGCAGCCTTCATGCTCTGAAATAGCTTAAAGCGACACACAGAGGGGGAAGTGTGCCGCAGAGGTACCACACAGCCTCATCCTGGTTTACAAAAAAAGAAACCTGCCTCTTTTGTAGCCACTCCATGGCTCTTTTCTCTTCTCCTTACTTTTCCCATTTATTTTTTCCTCTTTCACTTAGTCTTGCACTGTTTCTCGTATTCACTCTTTTCCACATTTGTTTCTACATCACCTTGATTTCTTTTCCTTCTTGTTCTTTTCAGCCTTTCTCCACCATTTTCCTTCTGTTTGTGTTTATGTCCTTTATTCTTGTTTTCTGTTCCTGTAAGAAAGACACTCCCTTGGATTCCACTTTCTTAGTCAGTGTGAAGCTGACATCATGTCAGCTGTCTGCTTCTTCTGAACCATTTCACACCACGCATGCGGTTCCCACCAATTTACCAAATTTGGTCCATCATGCTGAGTCTGTGACCACTAGAAAACTCACCATTGCCTTATTCCCCTGTCTATAAAAGGAGATGGAGAAAAGACTTGAAAAGAGAAGCACAAGGCCTGCAGCTCTTGAGTAGAAGCTTGAGAAACAATGAGAATTTTAGAATAGAGTCTGAGGTTAAGAAAGAGACATGTTTTGCTGTGTTGAATCTAGAATCCTCTTAAACCCAAACTGGCCCCAGAGCTTTGTGGTGCTTTCCCAACCCTGTCTTCATCCCAGTCTCCAAGATAAATTTCAGGTGTTGCTCAGAGAGACTGTCCCTCAGGTAACTGCAGCATTTCCCTCCTGAAATTGGATGCCCAGAGCTTGCATGAGAGTTCTGCTGATTGGGATCTGTAGCACTTTCCCTACGGTCAGCCTTGTGCTTTTTCTTTTATTTCATTTAACCTAAAATTGGAATGTTTCTTTGATTGGCTGGAAAAAATATATAGACGTATGTGTACCCCACCTTGCATCCTCCAAGAAGAAATACGTGGTATCGCAGCTCCTTTCTTCTGCTTCAGTCCAATGCCCTCTGTGCCTTGCGCTTTGCCTTCTCTCTGTTCACGTGTGGTTGCTTGGCACGTGCTGAAACCCACGCCTGAGACTTGTCTGTGTTGTTTGTGTAGAAATCTCCCAAGGTGGAAGAGGAGGAGGAGGAGGAGATGGAAAAGCAGCCTGACCCACTTCATCAGATCATTCTGCATTTTAGTCGCAACGCGCTCACGGAGAGGAGGTCAGCGTCACCAGGGGGCCCACTTTGTCCCAGGCACCAGCCATGACTGTCAACCCTACACCCTCCTCATGTAGGCAGCACTAAGTGGAAAGGATGTTGGATCTGAGCTGCCCTCAGAATTGTCCACCAAGACTTTACTGAATTCTCCTCAGTCATAAAGGATAAATTTGTGTCATTTGTAGAAAAAAATGTATACATGTTGAGACCAGAATACTAAGTGAAATAGATCAGATACAGGATTTAAATGTCACATAGTTCCTTTTATATAAGAAACCCGAAGTTGTTAATAATTTAGAGAATGAACAAAATATAAGAGAGATGGCAGGAAACAGAGAGGTAGGGGTCATGAAGATGGGGAGGGGACCTAGAGATGGAGGAGACAGGAGGTAGAAGGGAAGAGAACATAAGAAAGAGTAAGGTATGACATGTGTTATCCACTTCCCCATGATGAACATATCCACTATATGTCACAAACATGTGTTAATAAAAAAGAAACATCTAGAGACGCTTCCATCAAGCTACACCCCCCCCCTTGATTTAATGCCAGACACTGAATCTGAAGACAAAACACCCCAAAACTGTAAATATATCCTAAATGAAGATTCGGAGTTTTCAGAGTGCTTTCTAGGAAGCGGAGTGGGAATGTTCTAAGAACTTCACAAATTCATATAATTTGAATTTTTATGATTCTTAGTCTTTTCTGTGGGGTCCAAAGGTAACCTGCTAAATATTTCCTTTATTCTTTCCAGCAAACTGGAAGACGACCCTTTATATACCTCCTACTCCAGCATGATGGCCAAGGTACACCAGGATTTTCTGCACATTACTTTGGTCTGTCTTTCCTTAGACCTTGTTAGGCAGATGGAGACTGAAGTGAAGGAAAGGACTGGGCTTGCTCACGCCATAGGTTCTAGGCACTGTATATCCATGTGCTGTCGGAGTAACTTCCGTAAATTACTAAGGAAGCTTGAATTCTCCTCAGCAAAGGTTCTGGTAGCTGGGTTCTAAAGCCAGCTAAATGGGGTCCATGTAGACTACTTTTGGCACTTTAGTCAGTGTTCGGGACATAGTTAAAACCCATCTACAAGCGAACGAAACCAGAGGGAGATTCCAGTGTTCTGGAAGAGGCAATGATCAGAGGGATGCCGCCTAGAAGGGTGGTGAACTCTGGTATACCTGGAAGATAAGAAAATTGCTTCTTCTCAAAGGGAAGACTTTGGTGCCAAGTAGGAAGGCGGTGTGTTCAGGGCCCCAGAGCACGTAGTCCTTTGTTCAAATGTGTCATGAGAACACAAGGGAAAGGCAGAACTTTTGGATTCAAATCCTATGTGTCACATTCTTTTTGCCATGGCCTGGAACTGTGGCTTTAAAAGGGAATAGATCCTTGGATTCCAGTTGCCCACAGGCACCAAAGCTTCCCTAGAAGAGAGTTCAGGTCTCTGGGTAAGCCAGCCAAGGCCACAGTGAGTGTGTGACTCAGCATTCCCACTTCTCATTTCTGAACCTTTTAATGACTGCAAAGATGGCATTTGAAGCAGCATGTGGCCCTGTAGTAATCAATGTGTTCCTGGTTTTATGAAGTGGCCAGGTCCCTTGGAGGCTGAGAATTACAGTCCGTCCCCGTCCTTGAAAAGTACAACAGGGTTTTGTTAGTCAGATGTACTCACTTTTAATTTTATGATCTCTCTCCTCCTTTCTCTGCTCCATGGAATCCAGAGCTGTCAGAGTGCTGAGGATGAAGAAGAGGAGGACAAGGAAAAGACATTTGAAGTAAGTTTGCACAGTTTATAAACAGGGCCAGCCACCCAAGACAACAGGCTGGGTTTACAGCCATGGATGCCAATCTTCACCAAAGGGAAAGTGTCTGTGTTACCTACCAGGAAGTACAGAGAGTGGATTTCAGCACCAAAGTATGAGTGAATTAGGAGCAGACTTTTTGGAAAGCTGGGTAGTAGCCATAAATAAACTTCAAAGATTTGCTTTATTTGATATTACTTATACAGCCTTTCAGGAACAGCTAAAGATTCTCAGTTTACCCCAGTGAATTCCTTTAAAGGGAACAGGTACAGGAGAAGGAGCATACAGGTGGACGTGAGATATTTGAAGGAGTAGAGAACAGATCTTTTCCTGTGATTTTTCTCCCCAGGAAAAAGAGATGGAGAAGCAGAAAACCTTGTATCAGCAGGCTCGGCTGCACGAGCGTGGCGCCGCAGAGATGGTCCTGCAGATGATAAGTGCCAGCAAAGGTGATGTTCCTCACATCTGCGTGGGCCAGTGTGACTACCACAGAGATATCACACATGGCATAGGCATTATTAACAAGTCCTGATAAAGCCCAGTAGGCGCGATTTGCTACCTGTTACCTTGGTGATTCAAGCTCATCTTCACCCCGACAGGTGAGATGAGCCCCATGGTGGTGGAGACTCTGAAGCTGGGGATCGCCATTCTGAATGGAGGCAACACTGGGGTGCAACAGGTAATAGGGCCTCAGGGGGAGCTGTGCAGAGTTCCTGGAGGGCTCCCATTTGACAGCTGTCAGGCTGCAGAGAAGAGGTGTTGACCACTGCAGAGAGGGGCCTCCCAGAATCACTGCTGCTGTCTGTCCTCCGTAGTTGGGAACACATAAAACCAAGCCTGGGGGTTCACTGACAAATGTGCCCTTAGCAAAGAGATTTTATAGGGTTAAAAAAGAGAATGATTTGTTTTATAAGATGATTTTATGAAAGAATATATATATATATATATATATATATATATATATACTCATTCTAGCAGAAGTTTGGTAAGCATTAGGTATTTATTTCAGCCCCTTCACTTATTAGTCGCCTTACTGTGGGCAAGAGCCCATCCCTAACTTGGGGAGGAGGGGTTGATAACACTACACATTCATTAGGCCTTTTTCATTCATTTCATTCAATTCTTCCCTGACTGCTGGTCATGCCAGGCTCCACTGTAAGCGCTGAAATGTAGCAGCAGATCATAAAAATAAAAACCTCTGCCGCCACTCAGCTTTCATTCTAGTTGAGTATTGAACGCAGCCACGTGAGGCAGCACGGAGTGGGGCACCTGCGCGTGGATCGTTCCTCAGTCTCGTTTCATTGTCTGAATCAGATCTGGCTGCCAAAGACAGAGATGTACCAGCGTCTCCTGGGAACGCTGGGCTATGGCTGAAAACACCTATTTTACTTTGTGTTTGTTTATATTTTGGGTTTCTTATATAAGAGGAGCCATGCAATTTGTAACTACCTGTGATTTATTTCATTTAACAGTATGGTCTCCAAGACACTTCTCCAAGATGGGGGAAAGACCAACGAGGGGATTTATGGGGTTAAAAATGATTAGGAAATGATATATATCTGTACCAGGACCCCCCAGCACGAATGTAAATATTATGTATCAAATACAACAAAAAGAAGAAAAAGAATCTGTGTGCACAGAAAAGGGGTGGGTCAAACAGACCTTCACTGTTCCTGATGTTACATTCCAGGTGCTTGGAGAGTCTTCAGAGTTATAACTACAATATTGCATGTCATTTTCCCCAGCCTTTAGCTCACCTGAAACAAACTTTTTTCTTAGTCATTTTCTATGGCTTTCTACCAGCACCTATTAGTTGACTATCCTGCAGAATTTTTTTTATTAAAAAAATATTATATCACACAAAATTTTTTCTTTCCCAAAAAAGCAGAGAACACAAAAACCAGAAATGCTTGTGAAAGAAATACTTACCTTCCAACTAGATCCATCACTGGTAAAATCCATGCTCCTGTCTGTCAGATTCGTACTGCGAGCACTTCAGACCTCTGCATCAGTGACATTAAGCATCACTCTGTCATGGTCTTAGACATGGTCTGTCCCCAAGTAGAAGAGACTCTAAGCACTAGATATGAATGTGAAAGGTTTATTCTACTTTAGAAATACCAGTGAGACTTCATGAAATAAACATGATCTGCCCCCAAGAGATTCTGATTCTATAAGTAGAGTATGGCTCAGATACGTGTAATGTTTTTGTTTGGATTTTTAAGTCCATGGGTGATTCTAACACTTAAGCACGGGATGTATGGCTGGGGATTTGCCTTTTATACCAGAGGATAAGGAGGATCAGCATGTGTGGCATAGTTTTTATAGTCTTAAATGTGTCTCTCTTGCAGAAAATGCTAGATTACTTAAAGGAAAAAAAAGATGCTGGATTCTTTCAAAGCCTTTCTGGTCTTATGCAGTCTTGCAGGTAAATATGAGGCAATCATTCAGCATTTTTGAAAACTCTTCACTACTCAATAGAAAGGGAAGCAGAAGAGGATATACAAAATTACTGGCTTATGTGGAATTATTGAGAGAGACCTCAGGAGTCACCTACTCTAGAAAGCCAAGAGGGCAGGTATTGTTCCTCTATACTTCTGGGTTACATCCAAACAGGATTACAGTCAGAAGGAAATACATAATCTCCACTACCTACAGACAGTATCTAGTTTCTTCTCCAACGTGTGTGCCCATAAGTGTCACACCAAAAAAGAATGGAAAAGAGGAGAAACTCCTCGCTATGACTCATGGCTATAGTTTCAGCAGATCCTTTCATCTCTAACGTTAATGATTCTTTCAGCTTGAATACGTGGTTAGTGGGTACGTATTTTGACACATCCGTTTTGACAGTGATTTATCCTGACATGGGAACATTTTGACATAGCCTGAAAACAAAGCATTGAGCTGTCAGTTTATATTACTAAATTCTGTAAGGCACCCCTCATGGCTGAACCTTCTGACAACTAAATAACATGTAACCCAAAGTTGTAAGGTCACCATATTTGCTCATTTCAGAAATGACATAGCAGTTTTACTCTCTGAAGTACCACCTTACTCTCTAAAATGCAGGTTTATTTTGAACAGTCTGCAACGCATTCTAAAAAAAATCAAAGTTGTAATAAGTTAGCTCATTTTCCTCCAAGTAATGTGATTTAAAATGGAACATTATGTTTTCCATTTGAAAATTTCGAAATGAACTTCCTTTATTTTACCAAAGTTCATAATTTTGCTAACCTTATTTGATAGGCTAAATATTGCACCCTTGGCTAATAAGGAGCATGCAATGTGATCCCTTATTCTCATGTCTATATTTTTTCCCCAGCAATCTATTAGTTTAGTATCTCTCTCAGGAAAAGAAAATGTAATATTGCCAGTCCTAACTCACAAAGGGTAAAGTAGTACGTGTGGACTCACAGATGGCAAAAATCAAGGCAATTTAGTTCCACATTGCTCATCAAATTCTCCACGAAATTTCTAAGAGCTCTTCAAGAATTCTGTAGTACTTAATATTGCTAAATTTGCTAATAACAATGGTGTGGAGGGACAGGTGACATGTCCTTCGATGCTAACTTGTAACAGAAGGACTTGTAACAGAAGTTTTCAGCTATCTTAATGGGTTTTGATGATTAGAAAAAGAATACATGTTTGTAAAATATTAAGCAGTAAAGAAATTGAAACATTCAGCATGGGTGTTTGGGGATGAAGTAAGGAGCAGATATGTGGTTCAGACTCAAAACTGCTTCAAAGCAACTAAATCCAGAGGTCTTTCCCATGTTTCCCTCCCCTGATAGCAAAACCAGGATAAGAAGATTAGTACTGTGTTGTTGAGTGGCCCTTTTTATAGCAGAATCCAGGAACAAAGCAACAGAGACAGCAATAGAAATATCACTGCTTTCTGTGTAAAATGCATGTACATTGCAGAACGTACGTGATAAAAGAGAAAGCGATGCCAGTATCTTTCTAGGCTGACAGTCACTTCCTTTGCCTAGTGGTTCCAGGAAGGTCACGTTTTGCGGTCTTAATAGATGCAGCTGTAAGGTTCCCTCAGAGGTATATTCTTATAAGACCTTGGTTCTATAAAGAGCGTCTATAATGGAAAAGACTTAGGTTGTGTTGGTAGAATAGAAAGATCCCTACTTGAAAATAACGTGATCATGCAGTGCTGTCATTGTGAAGAGGGCTTCCTTGCTTAAATAAAATTTGGCTGTAGCTGTAACTGGGAAGGATGGGAAAGTAGGGACAAAATCAAGCCGGCTAACTTGTCACAAGTTGAGGAACACGGTGGGACATCTCTGCCTTTAGAAAGCTAGCAAAGTTATATGTAGAAATCTTGGCTTCTATTGACTCCTGAACGATAATGAAACGTTGAAAGAATGCAGCCTCTGAAATCAGGAAGTTTATAACTTTCTTAACAAGACTGCCTGCCGCAAAAAAAAAAAAGGAACTGTTAGACTTTGAACCATCATTTACAATAATACAGAGACAAGATACCGTTAGTCAGTAGAGACATTGGCGTTCGAAATCCATTTTCCCAGTGTTCAATAGCCTGAGCCTTGTTTTCATCTGTCTGTTAAAAGTGTCCTTGATTTGAACGCATTTGAGAGGCAGAACAAAGCCGAAGGCTTGGGGATGGTCACTGAAGAAGGAACACGTGAGTAACTGATGGGCTCCCCAGGCCATTGTCTTCCTGATTTCAATCTTAACTCTTCCTGGTTAGAGTCCTCACTTACCGCCTGGGAATCTGTCAAGCTTCGCTCCATTTGAGCAAAAGACTTCCATCAGTTGCTTTGATAAAGCCAGTATGCAGGCTGGGTGTGTTTGTAGAGCAAATTTTACCTCAAGACAGTTTACTGACAGTTCATGGCTTTCTTACTTTGTTCTCTTCTATTTTTCTCTTATTGCCAGTCATTGTTCGAGAACGTGGTAAGTTTGTGTTTCTGGCCCAAGTTCCTACGCCGTGTGTGAGTTCTAAGAGATCTAACTTAATTACCTCAGCACACGCCTGGCTTCGGTTTTGTGGTCGCATGTCGAGTCTAACACAGTTGTTTGATGCTTAATTACAGAGGTGTATTCCATCTGTAGAGCATGGGTTATGGACCGTGAGCCACGTTCTGCCTTTACCCTAGCCGTTCTCATTACAAATGAGCCTTGAGAATAAACAAGGCACCTTTGCTGAATCCTATGCTCTGCACTCTCGGCTCCACATTAATTGGATTGATCATGATTTGTCCAAAGTTCTTTTTCCCAACCTGTTGTGGCACACCTCCTTTATCACTTTTGCAGTCGTTTGAATTAGAAGGTGTTCCCTGTTGAGAAGCCAAACAAATGCTCACCAGTATGTTATGTTTTTCAAGGTGAAAAAGTACTCCAGAATGACGAGTTCACACGAGATCTCTTCAGATTCCTACAGTTACTTTGTGAAGGACATAACAGCGGTGAGTGGAACTATTGCTTTGTCAAGAGAAAATAACATTTGAATGGAAGACTAGAATTCAGTTCAGCGTGTTCCACTTGACGAAATAGGTTGCTAACCCAAGGACGTCTGTTAATTCTTTCTTCCATAAGAAGCTCTACATAAAACAACTTCATGGCTAATACTATTTAGTGCCTCCAAGGCTAAACTGTTTCCAGAATCCTCAGTCCTTTCGTCTTATTAAGTCCTGTTTCAAGTGTCTCCAGGCTGAGAGGGCTCAGAACAGATCTCTGACCTGCAAGACTGACGGGCCTCAAATGTGGTGTCTTTATAAGACACTGCACAGCGTTCCTCTCCTGCCCTCGGCTGAGAGGGGTGACAAGGACAGGCCCTGACCCAGCACTGTTATTCGCAGACTTCCAGAACTTCCTTCGGACTCAGATGGGCAACACCACCACCGTGAACATCATCATCAGCACCGTGGACTACCTGCTGCGTCTGCAGGTGAGGAGGAGACCTTGAGAAAAGCCGTGCACAGTTGTGCTTCCAGAAGGTACAGACAGTGCCACCAGGTCGAGGAGGCCTGGGACACAGGTGCTGCTCTGCTTACCGTGAGCTCATGTCTTGAGAAGCTCATGGTAAGCTGGCAGTGATTTAGCCTGCTCAGCACCGCAGCTTAGCAAATAGAACACACCATAGAGGGGCAGTTGTTTCCTTCGTGTTTCCTGGCTGGTTGGGAGCCGTGGCTTGTGGCCCTGCCCAGCATCAGGACAAGATGTCATTCCACATGTTAATCCAGAAGAAAACCAAAATTCACATTCTGAGTACAGTTTCTGCTGGATGCCTGCCACTTTCACACCACAGAAAAGTTGAAAAAAATCCTACATTGAAGCCGCATAAACGGGCTATCTGTACAATCAAGGCCCAGTAAGAAGAACATTAATAGTCACTGTCCATACATTACAAGTTCTCTTCATGCCTAAAAACTGTATTTAAAGACTAATGAGGGGCAGCCGGCTGTGGTGACACCACCTGTAATTCCGGCACTCTGAGAAGCTGAGGCAGGAGGATTGAAAGTTCAAGCCCAGCCTGGACCGTGAAGGAGGGCCTGTCTGAACACAAAATCTTTTTAAAAGGGCTGGAGTGATAGCTCAGTGAAAATGCCCTGGGACCAACCGTTAGTACTGAAAATTTAAAAAAAAATTAAAGTGGGAGAAAAGGGTTAAACGCCTGATTATCTGTTATAAAATGCTGATTTACTTTAGTTTTATCAGTGAAAATTAGCTCTAGTACTCAAGAGCTATAAACAACTGTAAATAAGGACAGAAATTTTCATAGAAAAAAATTATGCAAAGTAACAAAGGTGCATTGCATGACTCTAATCCCAGAACTCCTGGAGACCAAGGCAGGAGGATCACAAATTCAAGCCCAGCCTGGGCAGCTTAGAGACTAGTGAGATCCCGTCTCAAAATTTTACAGCTTTTAAAAAGAGTTGGAGATGTACTCAGTGTGAAGATGCTGGGTTCAACCTCTAGTACAAAAAAAAAAAAAAAAGAAAAGAAGAATGAGTTTTCAAATTATTAGTGTTGGAAAGTACTTGGCTGAATTATTTGAATAAAAATCCAAAGTATATTGAAAAAATCTACAATGTAAAAAATGGTTTTTTTCTTCTCTTAGCTGAGTCCTCATCCTGATTTTGCCACTTACAAGGAACCAGGGCTGATCTGTGTACCTTCCCTGTGTTCTACTTTCCTCATCTATAAAGTGGGTAGACTCTGCCTGGCAGAGGCACAGTAAGATGGAGAGGTTTGATAGGTGTAACATGCTCACAACAAATGCTCACATCACTTCAGATGTTAGCTGTCAGGCTGCTGCTGTAATGGTTATCTGCATGATAATCATTACCTTCACTATATTTATTCATGTTGGATAAATCATCCTGTGTGATGGTCTCCTGGCTGCCGGGTGCTGTCCTCTCTCCTGCATGCTTCCCTAAGAAGTATTTGTGCTTGAAAGATGCAAGGACTCAGATATTTCCGTCCTTCTTCACAGAGGCCCTGGCTCCCCTCAGAGCAAGGCACTGATTGAGCTGGAGGATTCTCTTCATGCTCATGGAGTCAAGCTTCACCAACTGAAGTCTGAGAAACACTAAACTCTCCTTGTTTGCTTTTAGGAATCAATCAGTGATTTCTACTGGTACTATTCGGGGAAGGACATCATCGATGAATCTGGACAGCACAATTTTTCTAAAGCTCTAGCAGTCACCAAGCAGATTTTTAATTCTCTTACGGAGTATATCCAGGTATGTGCTAGTGAGTACAGATTAGAAAACAAAGAGGTTGCTTTTATTGATCCCATTTTTATAGTCCCTTCAGGATATCTGGATGCACACAGTGGACTGTGCATGCCGCCCTATTGCTGACAGTACTTCTTATCTAGAGATATTTATCAATAGGACCTGCACTTTCTGAGGACCTGTAGTTTGTGATCCCCTGGTGGCACCTACTCTGGTGTTGTCACACTTGATTTGCATTTGTATAGTTATATCTTGCTTTCCCTCCTGGACTGAAAACCTTTCATGAACAGAAATTTTTTATTCAACTTAAAATTCTTCATGTCTAGCATACTTACCCATCAATATCCGATTCTATTTTATTTTAAATTTTAGTTGCTTTATTTATTTTTTTTAAATAGGGCCTCATTATGTAGTCCAGGTTGGCCTTAAACTCACAATGTAGCCCATTCTGACCTCAAACTTGTGGTAATCTTTCTGCCTCAGCCTCCCAAGTACTGGAATTACCGACAGATGTGCTCCACTGTGCCAACTAAATATCTGGTTTTAATAAGCATGGAGAGTGAACTAGAAAATTATTGATAAAATGGTGAAATGAAGGGATAAGTGGTACACCTCAAGAAGAGATTAAAAACAAAATCCATGAGCTCCTACCAATTATTTTAGAAATTAACTCTATGGGAAGTAATTTCAGAAGCACATGAACTATGTGCAGTGGCGGCCAAATCTACAAGTGAATTTCAAGTTGAACATCTAGATCTTTGAGTGGTCTTTCTCTATTCTTAAAATTTATTTATTTCCTGCAGTGGTCTATCTACTATGAAAAGGAAAAGAGTATGTTTTCAGGCATAATTTGTTATAAAATCAGCAGTCATGTCATAGCCCTCTGTGACATAAGATTTTAACAAAATTAATACCTCTTCTTCATAATATCAGAACCAGAAGACTTATGAATAAAATTTTCATTCATTTATTCACTAAAAGATCACTTAATTTGTGCCATATCCTCTGGTTCATGAAAAAAAAAGTTTAATTAATTGGCCACTGTCATTTAAAAAAAGATAAGAAAATTCATATGCACAATGAAAACTATTTGATATGATGATCACACATGGTTTGAAATAATCACACACTATGGTTAGGAACTGTAACTGTGAGTTTGAAGGATGAGGAGGTCCATATAGCCACTGAGCTCAGTGTTTACAAGTCTGTGTGGGATGTGGATGGGTGGGGAGAAGGAAGGATATCCCAGGATATCCCAGCTTTGAGAAAAGCTGCAGAGACAGAATTGTGCAGTCTCATGAGAAATAGTGTCACCAATTTATCAGTCTCGCTGAGACAAGAAAGAAATGGGGAATGCCTTATACAGGTTCTTGTGCACCTTTAATTCTTCCTCTAGAAACATTCTTAAGCCAAGAGACTGGGAGTTATAGTGGCTCTTTTTATGAGCTATTTGATTGTACTGAAATCTGTTCTATGAAAAACATTAGATTTTTATCAGATAAATATCTACATGATGAGCTAATTAGTTCACTCAGGATATATTGCTCATTAAACTAAACCAACTTTAAAAGGAGGATTTAAGGGGAAGAGTAACCCTTGTCTCACACAAATACTGAAAAGACAGGAAGAGAGAATCCTAGGCTCATCAAGTTCTATACCTATCTCTAAAGCTCCACAGAATTCGAAATACTGAGGAGACCATTAGATATATTTGACTTGTATCTGATTTGATCTGGGCAAAAGCCATCCTTATTTTCAGAAGTTGTCCCTGGAGCACTTAATCCAAAAGAAGAACCTCATGTTTTATGACTGTTTTCAACAGCCAGTTTTGTTCTAAAAGAATATAGTAGTTTCTAGGTATCAGAAACTGCATGTACATTGACAGTGATTTTTAAACAAGTTTATGTGTTGAAGATGCAGGCAGTGTTTCTTCTGTACACTGCTTGCTTGGGAAACCTGCCAAGACTCTTCCAGAACTTGAGGTAGCATCTCTGTTCTTTATCAGAACCTTCTCATTGAAGAATGCGTCAAGATTAGTAAAAGGATATGAAAAAATGGCTCTAAGGAAGAATTAAGAAACAGTGCTGCTTTGGTGAAGATCTGCAGAAGTAGGAAGGTTAATATCACGCTAAATGCAAACATAATTAAATCATCCCTCTATATCTGAATTCAGAAACTACATCTAAGACATGAGATTATTTCTGAAGTTGGGTAAATGATAATAAAAACCTAGAAGTGATTAAACACTAAGCCATTACCAATATGCATGTTTAATGTAACTAAATGGTCACATGGTCATGGCATTGTATGTATTTTTGCTTGAAAATAGTAGATGGACTAGAGCCTGGTTTTCAAACTGTGCCCACAGAACCCCATGTAACTATTTTAAACATTGTTCATCAGTGTAGGATTTTATTTAAAAGATGCTTTGGGAAGCTAAAACAAAACCACTGAACATTGCTAGAGCCTTAGTGGTTTTTCCCATAGACATAGATCCTATGATCAGAAAGGGGGAAGAAGTAATAACTTGTGAAAACATTGAGCTCTGAAACACTTTTGAAAAGTGACTTTTGGAAAGTGCTACCTGCTCGGATAAGTAGGCATCAGTTGCCGTTACTGCAACAGCTTTCAGCATGCTCTGCGATGCTGATGAAAATCAGGATGTCCTTCTCTCCATAGGGCCCTTGCATTGGGAACCAGCAGAGCCTGGCTCACAGCAGGCTGTGGGACGCAGTGGTCGGCTTCCTCCATGTATTTGCTAACATGCAGATGAAACTCTCTCAGGTACTGTGACCTGTTTCCCACACATTCTGTTGGGATGAGATGCTCAGAGGTCTTCAGCCCTTGGTTTTTCCCTTGTGGATGTGGCTGCTTGATCTAAGGCAGGAAAAAACCATGCAGATTAGATGTCACTTTTGAAGCTGAGGGCCGTAGTGGGTTGAATGCCTTCAAGGGGGTTCCCAGAGAGGCATGTGCATGAACGCAGCTTCCTTCCTTGTGTCCCACTGACCTCCTCTCTTTGAAATCACCTCAACACTTGCTTCGTATGGTGCTAACCTTTCTTGTCACTGTTGTGTCAGTGTTTGACACTATGTCCGTCCTTTCTGATTGGTCAAATGTTGCATGTCTTTGTCCTCCGCATATACTTTCTTTCCCACCTTTGCTTCCTCCACCCTCTCATCTCTGCCTCTCCTCACTCCCCATCTCTCTGGCAAGATGAATCGGAGTCACTCAGAGCATTTATTATGAACAAATAAATGTAGCATATGTAGTAGTGATCACCTCTCTCCATGGCAACACATGAGGGAGAACTTTAGGATGTGTTTCAGGCTGATTAGAATAACATTTGCAGCATTAATTTAAATAATGTGTATCTAAACTTTTCAAGGCTGTCACATCTGCCTCTTCTGTTCTGGAATGTGCTGTTTAACCCTTTCATTTTTCCCCTTTTGACTCTGGCCTTACGGGAGGAGAGAGTTCTTGGGAGGTCTAGTAATTTGGCATTATATGCTCACTTGTTTGTTGACAAGGACACTGTGCTACTGAGGCTCCTAAAGACAGGAGCGCTGGCCCTGCTACCTTCTCACCAGTGACTTGTGCAAATCACTTCCCATTTCTGGTTTTTGCTTTCATTAAATATTCAGAGTTAGAATGGATGATCTCTGAGGTCCCTTCTCAGCTCTAATATTCTCTGCTTCTGTGCCACTTCCTGTGTAGGTACTGCACATACACACCCACATACATGTGCACACCATATGGGAGAAATTTCTTCAAAAAATTTGAAGGGCTAGGCAAAGAGTTATGTCTTTATTTAAAAAGAAAGAGACATATATAAAAGAAGTGAAACCCAGAAAATACTGTTTAAATCTTACCATCAGATCAGTTTTCCAAAATCATTTCCTAATTTGAATTTCACCCTCAGATTAATCCTCTGAGGATCATTTCCTTCTGTGTCATAGGTATAAAGCACAGAGCTAACATAGCAGTACTCTAAAACAGACTGGTATCCAAGCCACCTGGAGGAATAGCCTCAATTATATGTCATTTTAAGGAACTAATGGCTCCTAGAACACCCCTCGAAAGAATCAGCATAATCTAGTTCAGAGAGAAAGGAGAACCAACCTGTTAACTATAAACTTCATACCTGTATTAATTATGACAAATGAATGTCATCAGTAATCTCCACTGTAGAAAACGACAAAATAAACTACTAGAGAACATCTAACAGCTGTCTGGTGGATCAGGCTGTTCAGTAGCTTTGGACGATTGGCATATCTACCACATTATGCATTCAAAGGACAAAGGTAAAGTTCTGTTGGTTGAGTCCTGCTACAGCAAACCTCCAGAGCTGGAGGCTCAGACACCCTTGGTCACAATGAGAAGGGAGCGCATTCTTGACCTTGACGCAGCCTTCATCTAACTTTTCCAGAGCAGGCTCTTCTTGCTCACTGCCCCGTACTTTGCCGAGGGATCAGATAGCTCAGGGGTATCTCCTGTTTCTGTTCTAGGATTCCAGTCAGATCGAGCTGCTGAAGGAACTCTTGGATCTCCTTCAGGACATGGTGGTGATGCTTCTGTCCCTCCTGGAAGGTTGGGCTGTTTGGTATAACTAGGCATTCACACAACTGTACTTGGTCTAAGCACTAACCTTACTAATCATGCAGATGATCCTTCTGGAAGGTCATTGATGCCATGTGCTATTGGTTAGAATGCCAAATTTTCAGAAAGAACAAAATGAGTGAGGGGCACATGGTCTGACGGACAGAGCCTGAAACCAACTCATTTTATATCAGTAGGAAAGCCAGAATGAACTGGGGAAAACCTCCAAGCTTTGCTCTTCCCTATTCTCCTCCTCTCCCCATTGCTTTTCAATACATCTGGCTGCCCGTGTGTATGCCAGCCATTGGGCACCTTTCCTAGGTCTAAGGGGATAAGAGGGACACCACAAATCCCAATATGTTCCAAATAATCTAATAGTAATACCACTTCCCAGGCTCCAGGCCAGAATAAAAGGCCACAGGGTGGCCATCTCTATCTTCCCAGTTTCTTCTCCCTTGGCTCCCAGTAGTGTAGTCTTTATGGTTTGCTGCTCCCTCCTGCCCACTTCCAAATCACCATGGTCAGAAAAGAACTGACTAATTTGGCACAGAAGTCTTCTTAAGCTAGCTACTTGACCAGTTACCCATTGGTTTGGGTTTATTTATATGTTGGTATGTCTTTTTGAACCTGCCTCACAGGGAATGTGGTAAATGGAACTATTGGCAAGCAAATGGTTGACACACTGGTAGAATCATCTACTAATGTAGAGATGATCTTGAAATTCTTTGACATGTTCTTGAAACTTAAAGACTTAACCAGCTCAGACACGTTCAAGGAATATGACCCAGATGGTAAAGGGATCATCTCCAAAAAAGAATTCCAGAAGGCCATGGAAGGGCAAAAGCAGTACACGCAGTCGGAGATTGATTTTCTCCTATCATGCGCAGAAGCGGATGAAAATGACATGTTTAATTACATTGATTTTGTGAACCGGTTCCATGAGCCTGCCAAAGACATAGGGTTTAATGTGGCAGTGTTATTGACAAATCTTTCTGAGCACATGCCTAACGATTCTCGCCTAAAGTGTCTCTTGGACCCCGCAGAGAGTGTGCTGAATTACTTTGAACCATACCTAGGACGAATTGAGATCATGGGTGGTGCCAAGAAAATCGAGCGTGTTTATTTTGAGATCAGTGAATCCAGTCGCACTCAATGGGAGAAGCCTCAAGTGAAGGAATCTAAGCGGCAGTTCATTTTCGATGTTGTCAACGAAGGTGGAGAGCAAGAGAAGATGGAGCTCTTTGTGAACTTCTGTGAGGACACGATCTTTGAGATGCAGCTGGCATCTCAGATCTCTGAATCTGATTCAGCTGACAGACCAGAAGAGGAGGAAGAAGAAAACGATTCTCCATGTGTGTTAGAAGTGGAGGGTGAGAAGGAGGAAGACAAGCCGCTCGAGCCCGCCTCTGCATTTGCCCTGGCCTGTGTCTCGGTGAAGAGAAATGTTTCCAGCCTTCTGAGGAAGGCAACCCTGAGAAACCTCAGGAGGCAGTGCCGGAATGTGAAGAAGATGAGCGCGAGGGAGCTGGTGAAGGTGTTCTTCTCCTTTTATTGGATGGTTTTCGTGGGGCTGTTCCAGATGTGCTTTACCATATTGGGAGGAATCTTTCAGGTCCTCTGGAGTACAGTATTCGGAGGGGGACTTGTAGAAGGGGCAAAAAACATCAGAGTGACCAAGATCCTGGGTGACATGCCAGATCCAACCCAGTTTGGAATCCACGACGATGCCATGGAGGCTGAGAGGGTGGATGTGGGTGAGCCAGATCTCACCGCTGAGCTAGTGCACTGCGTGAGAGATGAGAAGGGAGACCCGGACATCATGTCAGACCTGTTTGGACTCCATCCAAAGAAAGAAGGGGGCTCAAAGCACGGGCCTGAAGTGGGTTTGGGCGACCTCTCTGAAATCATCAGCAAGGATGAGCCCCCTACGTTAGAGAGTACTGTGCAAAAGAAAAGGAAAGCACAGGTAAGCATGCCTTGTTTCTATCTTTCTTCATCACCAGAAAAAGATTTGTCACTTTAGCTTGTAATTAATACAGACACGGTTTGCCTCGGAGCCAACCCTGCATCACACAGTGGCTCTACCATGATTACTCCCCAATCTTACAATTTTTGTATATCTGAGGGTATCAAAATTAGCTGGATATTTCAGTGTTTAGTTAATTAGTGGTCTTCCAGTTTTGCATTGTAGAATTCAAACAAGAGATTTGAGACCTTCCCCTTCCTTCAGGATTTTGTCCTGTCATCAGATTTATTCAGTGAATCAAGAGCATAGAACACAAGCTATAATGTAAGAGGAGTGCTTTCTTATGAGACACACTTCTACAAGTGTACTCAAAGGTCCACGTGATGTCCTATGCTTTGGCATAGCTTCCTGGTGAGATTAATCATGCCTGGAATATTTTCATCCTTGTGATGCTCTTACTATTTATGCAGGACTTCAGATCCAAATGAATGAGATAGCGGTTGTTCCAAGCCCATTGGCCATGGGAGGTTCTAGATGTCCCTCCTCTTGCAATATCTAAAAACAGTTTCATTCCTGAAGCCAAGAGAATAGAGAAGTGTGGAGCGTGAGACTTGTATTTAGTCAATGATTACTTGTATTTAGTCATCCATTATTATTTATTATTTGTGAAATGTTTTAGACTCTGAGAGTACAGTGGTCAGTTGAGAAACATTTGTCCTTATAGTTTAATGAGGAAAACAGACATGGACAAGTCAATGTAAGCATAAAGTCTGCTTAAAAGGAGAAATGGAAATGTGTAGGTGAGAACGCTTACCCAGTGTGGAGAGCCAGGGAAGAAAGTATCAGACCACAGATGCTCTTAGTACTTCATTCATTCATTCTGCTTTGCTCCTTGATGGAGCCTACAACTCAAAACAATTTGATACCTAATAGAGATTCATTTAGGGAGTCCATGTACCCAGCTGTGTCCTACAATATAAGAATATCTTGGTTAATAGAAAAGACAACATTTTTGTTCTTATGAAACTTAAACTCTACTAGAGAAAGCAACAAATAAATAATTACCATTTAACATGAATGGTAAAGTAAATGAACAAGTTAATAGGGTGAATGTTGCTCCTACTATAAATAGGATATTAGGAGGCTTCTGACAGTAAGTCACCTGAGCCAGGTGCTAAAGGATGACAAGCACATGGACAGCTAGGGAGGACCTACTCTAGGCAAAGCCGATGGCTGGTGCAAAGACCCCAACACACAAAAGGGCCTGCAGTGCTCAGGAGAAGAAAGGGCTGAGCACTTAGATATAGGAAACAATAAAAGAGGCAGTACAAAATGAGGATGAAAAGGCCAGAATCATGTAGGGTGTGGAGGCTTTGGGGAGGAATCTGGCTTTATTCCAAGGATGATGATCATCATTAGGGAGATCAGGGTGAGGGCAGGAAGATGAAGGGAAAGCAGACAGCATGTCGGGTGGATGTGGGCTCTGCTCTGGACTTGGTTTTGTTCTGAATCATATCTCTCTTATCCCTTGGGGTGATAGCATTGCTACTACAGGGCTCTTATGAGGTTCAAGCACAGGTTTCCTGACTGAGTAATAGCGGGACAAGTGACATCTATGAAAGCCTGAAATGTCTGTCTTGACATCTTTCCAGAGAAGCTTAAGCCATAGCAGGAGATGTACATTCTGTGATTCCGAGAGAAGCTGAAACACAAGGAGGAAAAAGTCCTGTTGCTTGAAACCAAGAAGAATATGGCAATGACATGGCTCATGATGAGCTCCCTCCCTAGAGGAAACCTTAACTAATTGTCGCTTTTACCTAGGCAGCAGAGATGAAGGTGGCACATGAAGTGGGAGGAAAAGCAGAATCTGAGAAGGCTGAGTAAGTTCTTGGTAGCATGGACGATGCTGATTGCTGGGGCTGACAGTTCTCAGTAGCACCTGCTATTCTATTGCTGGGGTAAATAGAAAACCTGACTTCTGTCAATGCAAGCAATAAACTATGCAAATCCTAGGCACATTTGTTTTCACCTCAGCTCTATAATACATACGTGCTATTTCTAACTTTATAACTCCAGTGATGGATCAAGAGTCTCATTGTTTGAACAAATAAATTATCAAAAATACCTAGCTTACCAACTTCATAATACCTTCTATTTATTAAATACCTGTTATCTTCCATGCCTGTGCTTGGCTCTTTTATAAGTATCTCATTTAATTCCTGCCATAAACTTAGAAGAGTCAGAACTATTGCTAACTGCTAAGAAAACTCGAAAAAGAAAGAAAAACTTTTATGAAAATATATTATGCAGCCTAATTTGAGAAGAGAATGGTCACTTCCTGTAGAATATAAATTTGATGTCCAGCCACTGTGGGTTGACAAAGCCCTGAGGACTCCACATTTGAGCAACAATTCCACCTGTCACCTCTCTAAATCCAAATTTCTCTCTAACGTTTAGCCTCTCTTTCTGGGCCAAACCTTCCTCTCTCCTCCCCTGCTGAGTGGATTTCTCATCCCTACAGCATGGAAGACGGAGAAAAGGGGGACAGAGCCAAAGAGGAAGAGCAAGCAGAGTACCTGTGGGCAGAAGTGACGAAGAGAAAGAAGCGACGGCGTGGTCAGAAGGTTGAGAAACCTGAAGCCTTCATGGCCAATTTCTTTAAAGGGCTAGAAATCTATCAGACCAAGTTACTGGTAAGTGCTGCAGCCTTGGCCTCTTCCTGGTGCAGCTATTGGCCAAACTGACCTCAGAAAGTCAGCCACTGGTGTCTTACCATTAGGTTAGCTATGCTTCCTCCCCTTTCCCGCTCCTGCTCTTTCCTTCTTCTCCCTCCTCCTGTTTTAGAGGAGAAGAAAAGGAGGTTTACCTGGGAAAAGCCACAGCCCTCCAGGCCTCTGCCCCATGACAGAATCAAGGTGTCCTGTGCCCTTTTTCCCCTGCAGTAGGAATCTCTTTCTAGGGAGCTGTTCACATTTGCTGTGTGGGGGCTTGTCCAAAAGTTCAAAACTAGTTTAATCCTCTGGGCAACAAAAAGAAGTTTCCTATGTTAGGTTTGGTTCCCAACTAGTTCTCGACCTCAGCTGAGCTGGTACTATTTTATCTCTGATAAACTGACCACTGGGATACGGTTGCCAATAGCCAGGACTCCACCTTTCTTGGCACAGTAAGCAAAGTCTCCCTCTACAAAAAGCCTGGAACTTTCAACGCTCCTGCTCTTACAGGCCTCATGCTGATTTTTCCCAGGAATATGGCTGTGGAAGTGGGAACTGTGCCCCCAAGAAAGGGATGAAGGAGGTCCAAAGGCACGAGGACTGTAGCCATGGCTTGGCTGTGGGGGTAGGGCGGGAAGCAGGGATGTTGGGTATTCTGTGAGCCTAGATTATTTATCATTTCTGAACAGACTACTTCCTATATGAAGTGATCATGAAAACACGTACACATAGCACCCGCATAGCGGGTGATCCTCCGCTGGTAGCACATGTAGGCATTGGGTCCCCTGAGGCTCAGAATATATGGGTCCCCCAAATAATTCATACCTTCATTAAGAAATGGAAGATTGCACTACAAACATGGTAATTACATGTGTAAACTTCTAACCAGAGCAGATCCCTTGGGAGACAGGGAAGTTCTGCACCTCTCAAAGCTACTTCTGCCTGCCCTTGTCTTTTCAGCATTATCTGGCCAGAAATTTCTACAACCTGAGGTTCCTTGCTCTGTTTGTAGCCTTCGCTATCAACTTCATCCTGCTTTTTTATAAGGTGATACTTCTTTGGGGGTTGCATACTAAACACATGAGAGAAAATAGAATAAGAGAATTTAACACTCAATTACAGCAAAAATTCTATTATCTGAAGAAATGTTTCATAAAACATTGGCTTCTAAAAAGTATATAATCTTTAGCAATGGGCAAGTGGAGATACGGCTGAGAAGGGAAGCGAGTTAGGGCAACACTGAGGAATTGAAGCTTATTTAGTCGCTATTTAATTGAATCTTTAAATATTTACTGAGGACCCACTCTGTAGTACTTACTTTGGTAACTAAGGGGTATTTCAAAATATTAAATACAGTTATTTCCTTGGGGAATAAGATAATTGGGGCCATTGGAGTTGGGTCATATGTTAGAACCATCATGAAGGAAGAATTAATGGATACTGGGAAGAGAGGTGCTGGTCAAGATAAATAAAAATTTTGAGCATTGGTGAGTAGGTCTTGCATGTCATAAGCATGTAATAACTGCTTATTAAAGAATGGTTCTAGCTTCTTTTTTAATTTCTTTTATGAGTTTTTGTTAGTATATGTTTTGTAACAATTACATTTAACCTGGAAAATGGGTATGTATACATATTTCATTTTGATCTTTTATGTCACACACACAGTTTCCTCCTTCCTCAGGTTCTTGACATAGTCTATAACTAGCTTTTCTGTCTCTTGCCTCTCTCTTTCCTATTTCAAAGCACCAACCTGATTTTTATGAAGCACTGTTTCATCTACACTAACCTTCCACTTGCCAAACTAATGACTTTCTATTGCCCATAAAGGAAACATGGAAGTCTATAGCAAGGTGAATAGCTTGCCTGCAAAAATACTGAGGTTGGGATGGCTCCAGATCATCCTCCAGGCAGAGACAGCCAACAGGCAGCCGAAAGCTGCAGGACAAAAGCCCCACATGAGTAGATGTGAGAGTTACACCTGTCCAAATGGCAGTGGAAGCCAGGGATGTAAATGGAATCTCAGGAAGAAAGGGAAATGCTAAGTGTGTGTGCACATGTGTGCTTGTGCACATCCATGTTAGTTCAGCCTCTTCTCAGGCCACATTTCATAGATTACCTCTTAGGGCACTGAGGTCATGGTAGGTATAGTAAAAGGCCCCTAATTTTAATGTTTTGCTTTCTTTCCAAGAGGTAGATTGAAAAGAAAGTAAAATCAATTGACTTAATTTTTTTTACAGTTATTACAGATACTAGGGGATTCCTATTCATAAGTTACACTGAAAGCCTCATTTATTCAGCAAATAGTGTTGAGCCAGTACTTTTTGCACGATATAAAATATGTGATAAGAGCCCAATGCGGAGGCTACTTCTGAGGTTGCTAAGTGAGCATGTGTCTTGGGCCAGGTCACTGAAGAACCTCTAGAAGAAGAGACTGAGGATGCTGCAAACCTATGGAATTCATTTAATGATGAAGAAGAGGAAGAAGCGATGGTGTTCTTTGTCCTACAGGAGAGCACCGGGTACATGGCACCGACACTGCGGGCCCTGGCTGTTGTCCATACCATCATCTCATTCGTCTGTGTCATAGGCTATTACTGCCTGAAGGTGAGCTGCCAGGCATACTGGGTTTTGCCTCCTGGAGGAGGAAGTGTCCTATTTTAACCCCAGATAAACTTTTATTCTCCAACACTTTGCTGATACAGTAAATTTTGTGAAGCATTAATATTGCAGTCACCTAGATGCTCCAGTTGGAGAATCTGAGCCCCACCCTGGCTTTTAAATCAAAACCAGTCAGAATTTACCAGGATTTTGCTTATCCAAATTTGAGAAATATTGTTCTAGGAGTCCCATTTCAGATACCTCATTGTTTCGTACCATTTAGGATCACTGGGCTACGTCACAGACTAGTATAGGCTCTCCTGATCTTTCTGGAATTTTTATGAGTATGCCATTTTATTAGATTCTATCCATTCATGTAAGAGAAAAAACTTCATTGGTGTAAAACAGTGGTTTCAATGTCCTAGCACTGCATAATAAGTCACCACAGACCTAGTGGTTTTTCAAAGAGCAATCATCTTATCTTGAGGACCCTCACTGACTGCGGCATTCGGGCAGTTCCTCTGCTCCCTGAGAAAGCACTGTGAGCAACTGTCTGGGAGCTCAGCTCAGGGGGAGTGGCCACAGGGGCACCTTCCTGTGCCTGGCATCTCTATCAGGGAATGGGCAGGCTGGGTTCACTTGGCATAGCTGGAATATCTCTTTCCTCTCCATGTAGACGCAGGTTATCCCCTCTTCGCATGGCCTGTCCTTGTGCTCTCTCCTATAGATTGGCTGGAAGTCCTGCATGGATTGCTTAGGGTTCCAAAAAGGGCACACGAGTAGCTCTATCCCTTCTGGGGCCCAGAATTAGCCCCCGTGTTAGTGTGGTTCCTACTACATTCTGTTGCTAACAGCAGCAGAGCTGTTAGTGGCCAGCTCAGAGCCAGTGTTGATGGGTGGCTACAGGAGCACAGGAGCACCAAGGGCACTGCTACTGGTGTGTCAGTCTTCCCAAGTTCAATGTCTGATGTTTTAATTCCATTTTTATTTCCGTATACCATATTTTTCTCATGACTTATTTTTATTACATTTTTCCCTTACTTTTCTTAAGTAACAAGTCTCCTTGACTTCAAGCCACTTTCTTCCCGAGAAGAGTCTGGAAAACTTATTCTTATCCTTGTGGCCATTTCTTCCCCTAGTAGACTGCAGTGTCACTAGGAAGTCCAGCTACCCTATCGAAGAGACTGTTTACCCCAGTCATACTAAGGACTGTTGAAATTAGAAAAGCAAGGATTATAGAACCAGTATGATAAACTCCCAAGCCCTGTATCTCCTCCTCTGTAAAAATGAGTAGCATAATAACAATGCCTGAAGTTCTAGGGGCTAAACAAATTCATATGTGTCCATAGTTCACCCCAGCATGCTAGCTACTAATCCTTGGCTCACAATCCTAGAGCTCAGCTTACTGGATACATCTACATACAGACTAGAGATGACCCAAAATAATGTTATATAGTGGATAAAACTGTGAAAATTCTCCTGGGGCATACAAATTCCAAGAAGACTGAAGGGGAACACTTAAAAGTCCCAGAGATCAGGATTAATCTAAATCTTGGTGTGGCCATTGTTTAAAAGAGCAGACGTTAGTCAGAGTGGCTTTGGCTTTGTTTTCTCTGCCACATCATCCACTGGGTAAGAGCAATCATTGGTTCCTCACAGTTCTCAATACCCATGATTGGCCTTTGCCACTCCCTTTAGTCTTTTATGTCTCCAGTGTAATTTGTGACCTTAATGAAAAAAGGGACAAAAGATAACTCTTTACAGATCATTGCCCATATTTTGTAGCTTTGTTTCAAAAATAAAATAGCTATGTGGGATAAATGTATATAATGAATTTTGAGAAAGAATTATTAAAACACAGTTTGGAGATTAAGTTCTCTGGGAGTGAGAAGTTGGGCCTCTGTCTGAATTAAACTTTTCTGGCTAGAGAAGCTCTGGCTATCCTGACTTTTCCCTGGGATTTGGACAGTATCCCTGACCTATTCTGCCCCCTGTTGAAGTACATATGTGCTTAGTTGAAGCGAGTAAATTACTTTCCTATACATTTCTGGGTTCCCCTTTGGTGGTAGGTTTTTAGAGCCATGTTAGCATTTGTGATCTAAAATTATAGTTAAAATTATGACAGTCCCTCCTTATTCATGGCTTCACTTCCCATGGTTTCAGGTACCTTTAGTCAACTGCAGTCCAAAAATATCACATTGAAAATTACATAAATGAAACAAAGTAAGTTTTAAATTGCATGCCACTCTGAGCAGCATGATGAGTTACACTATTCTATCTGTCCAATCTAGGCGATGCATAGAACTAGCATAGCACCACATCATCACATCTGTCCCACGTGGAGTATGGGTCATCACCCCTTACCCAGTGTGTTCCCACTGCATATACCACTTCCCTGTCAGTCACTTAGAAACCGTCGCAGTTATCAGGCTGAATTTCAAAATATCACAGAGCAATCCAAGTAACCCTTATTTTATTTAATGATGCTCCCAAAGAGCAAGAGTGGTGATGCTAGCTATTTGGATTTGCTCAAATGATGCCATAATGGTCTTCCTTTAAGTAAAAAGGTAGCAGTTCTTAATAAGAAAAGAAAAATCCTATGCTAAGGTTGCTAAGATCTATAGAATAAATCTTCTGTCGATGAAACTGTGAAGAAAGGTAAAGAAATGTGTGCTTACTTTGCTGTTACACTTCACACTGCCAAAGTAATGGTTGCACTGTATGATAGATGCTTAGTTAAGAGGAGAAAGACATCAGATTTGTGTTTTTACATATAGGAACAGACAGTGTATGAAAGGCTTTGTCCTATCTGTGGTTTCAGGCATTCCTTGAAGGTCTTGGAATGTATCCCACACCGATAAGTTAGCTCTCTGTGTAAGGGAGTCACAGTCATACCAGATAGGTCTGCTACTGCCTGGCAGAAGCTCTTTACAGAAAAAAAAACTTCAACCAAAAGGCAGTATATAGAGTCTTCTGAATCCTCATATTCTCTCAGACAGTGAGTGCTTCATGAAACCATCAGCTGAATATGTCCCTAGTCTTAGAAGAGAGTTAGACCATCTCAACATGTTCCTATGGGTGCACTCTGTACTCTAGGGGAGGGAGGAAGGGGAGGAGAATATTGCATCAGTCACTTTCCTATTGCTGAACACAATACCCAGCACCCACAATTTGATGTTTATTTTGGCTCAGAATTTTCAGAGGATGCAGTCCATGCTCAATGGACCCCAAATCAGAAACAGCATAGCAAAAGGGAATGTTAAAGGAAAACTGCTCAGTCCCACATGGTAGCCAGGAAACAGAGAGAAGGGAGGAGCCAGGCACAAAAATAACCCCTTCCAGTCACACCCCTGGTGACCCACTCCCTCCAGCCAGGCCCCTCTTCAAACATGGGTCTTTGCGGGGACACTTTAGATCAAAACCATAACAAGTGTGCTTTCTAAGTCTTTGTTCCATTCCAAGCCTAGGAGTGTTAGGAAACCTAACCATTCACCCTGGCACATGTCTACACAAGGCTTTCTCAAAAGTCCAGCTTGTATAAGTATCAGCTACTGGGCTGAAGCCTTAAAGGGGACTCACATGAGATCAGCTCTTGAAGGAATATTAGCCAAAGGAGTGAAAGGAGATTTATTTGGCCTTGATCCCACAACTAGGCACCCCAAAATCTCAGTATAAGGAGATTCCTACTCTGAAGTTGGAAGGTGAATTTGGGACAAATGCCTGGCAGCAGGTGCTTTAACCATAAAACCTTACGTCTTCCCACTCCTAGGTCCCTTTGGTGGTGTTCAAAAGGGAGAAAGAAATTGCCAGGAAGCTGGAGTTTGATGGCCTGTACATCACTGAGCAGCCATCTGAGGACGACATCAAGGGGCAGTGGGACCGCTTAGTCATTAACACACCGTAAGTGTCCCTCCATCCCAAAGGAGTTTCTTTTATAAGTAGAATAACTCTTCCCTGGCCTTGTAGACTGATTAACATAAGCTTTCCTTAGATTTTCAGGACTTTTTACTTTTTCTCATTCAAAAATGTGCCTATCGCCCTTCAAATTCTTATATGTATCTCTGTGGACTGAATGAAGGATAGGATGTCATCAGGAGGGACTAAGCATATTTAATTAATATATAATGTCCTGTAGAACATAATTTAAACTAGATTCCCCTCTTTGTGTCATACAGTGTTTCCAGGACTTAACTGGCCTAGAGGTTTAGAGATCCCACAGAGCTGCTTCTCCCCCAATGCAGTGGCATTTCTGTGACCATCACCGAAGGCTTCTCCTTAAATAAACAGTCAGATGGTGACAGACCTCCTCCCAAAAGAGCATGAAGGGGCAGTTAAGAGAGGATGGCTTGGGTTAGAGATATTAAGGGATGTGGGGGAACCGTCTTTGCTAGTGTGCATGTGGTGCTGTCAGGGAAACAGCACCGATTCCTGAAGCAGACAGGCAAGGCACCAAGTCAGCCGAGGGGGACTGCTCAGGGGACTGTTTGTTGCCTTGGGCGAGGAAATCAAGCCTGGAACCTGTGGACATAACTCGAGGAATAATGAATGTATGTCACATGCCTGGCACACAGTGCACATCAAGCGGTTACTCATGAGCTAGGAGTATAGTTCAGTGGCAGAGCACTTAACTAGCAAGCCCTGGGTTTGAGCCCCAGCACCATAAAATAGATAACTGTGTGTGTTTTTTTACAGTTATGCACTGTCTTTCCTTTAACTGTTTGAAAAATGGCCATCACTATTAACAATGTTCTCTAATACCAGAACATCATGGTAATAAAAATGAGAGGTAGAAGGTGAATTATTGTGGTGAAAGTAATGGGATTAACTATGTAAATTAAGGTTGACTGCACGGAAACTCAGCCATGCCAATCAAGATGTACACATTTATAAACAACTCCCTAGACTCAGCAGAAAGAAACTGCTTCTTATCCAAAGATGACCAAATAAACTGAGAGACGGCTGCGAAAGTTTCTTTAGCAGTCTCTAAAAAGGAAAGGCCTTTTTCTTAGGGACATCAAAACTGTGAGCAGTGCAGATCCAAAGTCGGCCCCTGGTGTAAATCCCTGCTGGTTACACGTGAGAAACAAGGAAACAACTAAACATTGTTTTTTATAGTTTGCCATTACATTGGGGAAGTTTTGACACTATGAAATAATTTAATTCTTCAGGAAGCTTTCTGTAGTTATCAGTAACATGTGGTGGTGTGGCCTAAAAAATCCCAGTAAAAATGCAGCTCATTTTCCAGAAATTTATTCTAAGGAGATAATGAAACAAATGTATTAAAATGTCCCAATAAGAATATTTGCTAATACTTTTTATTTCAAGTAGCTTAAATCTCCCCAAATAGGGAAATGCATACATAGAATGAGTAGTGGATTTAAAATTTCTACAGTCTAATCTTTAATTTTTTGTACACTAATGGCATCATAGTACATGGAGTACTTTGTAACTTGATTTTTTTCAATTATTTTTATATCAGGAAGAACTATTTTTAATTAAATATAATTTTAATTGGCACATATTTATATTTAGTTGTGGAATTCAGTATTATAATTCAATATATGTACACAGTGTCTAACGATCAAATCAAGGTAATTAACATTTCCATCTCCTCAAACATTATCATTTCTAGTTTTAGGAGCCTTCAAACTCTCTCCTCCAGCTATTTTGAAATGTGTAATTAATTATAGACTGTCACTGGCCCGTTGTGCTGTATAGCTTAGAACTAACCCTCTTAAGATGTTTTTTAATTCCTACTGTTTATGCTAATTTCTTATTTTTATTTTCTTACACATATACAACCACATGCAAAATGTACATATGCATTTTTAAAAATAAACTACAAAGATTAAAAAATAGAATAGTGCTAAAAATTTGAAAGCTATCCTCCTTGATCATCCTTCATACACCAGCCAATGTATTTTCTAATATTCATATTAATTCTCAATGAGTTAGTGATATTTGTGATATTCATTCTCCTGCTTTAAATTATAGTTTTACCACTTATTTATCTCTAAATATAACCCTTCATTCTAACTATTTTGAGCTATATACAACTGGGATTGTAATGCTGTGTGAATTATATTGTCACTTGAATCTTTTGTTAGGCTTTAAGTTTGAGTCTCACCTTATATTAATGCATATTCCTATAGTTTGCTCATTTTTAGAACTGTAGCATGTTTTAATGTGTTCATATATTAACATATATTTACCTTTTCATGAAAGTGGACATTTCAATGGTTTCTAGTTTCTGAGTATTAAAAAAAGTCCTTTGTAAACATCCCTATATCTAGTACAGAAGTCAAAGAGTTTCTCTAGAGTAGACCAGGAGAGGCATTTGCTGAAGAGTAGAATATATAAAATATTTTTCCAATATAATACATCCTAAAAGTACATTACTGAAAGTTTCTATTTCTTTCCTTGATTGTCAGCACTTGCTATTGTCAGAAAATTTTACTTCCCTGATTAAAGAGATTGAGCATCTTACAATTTTTTTCTGAATATTTATATGTAAATATATTCTTTATTTATGCATTTTATTCCTAAACACCTATTCTCTACACCATATTTTAAGGAATATTGCCAGATGAAAACATATGTTCTACCTTCAAGGAGCTTCTGATCCTAGTGAGGTGATAAGAAATTGAAAATGCTCAGAGCACAGTAAGGTCACAACTTTCAAAGTCTCTGCCCTCAGCATCACTTGTAGAATCTTCTACTAGGGACAAACTGTGAACAAAGCTGAGTATGTTACAAATCATCCCATAATGAATTTTAGAGGAAAGAGATATCAGTGTGGCAGAGGAAGCATGGCTTGGTCTCTGCTTGTTTTTTATTAGATTCTAAATGCAATACATAAGAAAAACTCAAGCAGCAGAGAGTGTACAGAGAAGAAAGTAAAAAACAATTATTTTTATCTTCCAGAAATAATCCTATTAGCAATTTATTCGGTAACATCAGCATTTTTTAAAATTTTAATTGTTAGATTATTAAAAGAAACTATTTTAATGAGTCCACATATATATGTATATGTATATATATTTGTTTTGTTGTGTTTTTCTTTTTAGAAACTAAAACCCTGTTATAGGCGAGGAGGCCTTCACTCAAAGTCATAGCCTATTAAGAAGTCCCCCACCTCCTCTTCTCCAGCAGATCTCTCTAGAATAGGAGACTGTTATATTTCAGATCCTGAAACAATAGCCTGAATAAAGGAAAGTTAAGAATGCCCACACTAAGGGCCAGAGTTTTGGCTGTAATCAAGCCTAGCACACAAGCCTCCCAGGTGAGATCCAGCCATTCTAGATAGAATTGATGTATTTTAAAGAGGTTTTGCCAACACATCTGCAGGTGACAATTCTTTCTCCCTTTTAACACTAAGAAATTATTTGCAGTGAAGCTGGGATGGGCTACAGGCAGAGGAAAGCCGTCTCCCTGGGGATACTAGGGAGGAGGACTGAACAAGAAACCACTTCCAGAGAAAACAGGGCTGTAACTCCCGGAAGAAAGCACTCGTCACAGAATTTAGTGGGAATGAAAAAAGAGAAAAGCATTCATGTTAAGACAAACCATATGTAAAATAACTAATGTAACTCCAAGTTGGGAAACCATAAAATTAGTGACCTTACATATACACTTTATCGCATCCTGTATCTCCAATATCTCCCTGGATACCGGAGGGACACTGCTCACTGAATGGAACTGTAAATCTAGGCTTAGTTTCAGCTGAGCTGTGATGAGGAAAAGGATAAAGAAGCATATAACTGGACCACGGCAGATGCAGTGGTACAGGAAGGCTGCCAGGCACAGAGTCGTGTAAACAGGGTTGTAAACACAGTTGCACCCAGGAGCTGGGTGTGCAGGATGACAGGTAGGCGATGCAAGCTGGCACCTTTCAAAAAATGACAAACATGTGCAGTAGCTGCTTTGGGCTACTCTGTCCTTTGAATTTCTGGTCCTTAATCACAACGTTGAAATAAAAAATGAAGAGTGGCTTCCAAATGTTTCAGAAGCCAAGACAAAGTAGTAAAACCATACATCAGTCAATCTGTGATGACTCTGAACTTCAATCACATCTTGAATTCTTCAGTGAGCAGGACAGAAACCCAAAAAAAAAAAAAAAAAAATCACAGGTTCAGACGTTCAATCTAGAAAATTTCTTGATGTGCTTGCCTTGATGTTTTAAGAATTAAGGACCTGCCTTTTTCATCTTCGTTTCAGATCCTTTCCCAATAACTACTGGGACAAGTTTGTGAAGAGAAAGGTATGCCTTGTCAGTGGGGTGAGCACAGTGATCCCAAATGAACTCAATACATACTCATTATCAAGTATTCCACATGCAGATATGCACAAACAGGGTATTAGCTCTAACTTACTATCCTGAGAAAAGGAAGTCACAGAAGTGGCAGCACATGACAGTCTGTAGATTTCTGACTGCATTCTCAGTCTGCCTCCAGCAGCTTAACACAGTGCTGCTTCTCTACACATTAGGATTTTTCTCCCCTCCAAAATGATGCCATCTTACAAAGCAGTACCCACTTCCTTGCCTTTACCACTTCACTTTTCACTGGGGATTATTTTTTTCTCTTTTCCTGTTCCATTTTGAATCCTATCTTCTTCAATCCTTTGGAAAAGCCTAATGGATAGCAAAGTTTAGAAGGTCACAGAGCCAAAAGAATGTGGATAATGACGTGTGGCCCAGTTCACCCTGTCATCTCTCCACTTTAGGTGATCAACAAGTATGGAGATCTCTACGGAGCAGAGCGCATTGCTGAACTCCTGGGTTTGGACAAAAATGCCCTTGACTTTAGCCCAGTGGAAGAGATCAAAGCAGAGGCTGCTTCTCTGGTGTCATGGTACAGCATTTAGGAGTTTTGATTCAAAGTGGCTAGAGTGGGTCCTTGGTCTTCCCATTCCTCTCAGGTATGCTAGAGGAGGAGATTGCAGCCATGGCCAGGCCTGCCACAGGCAATTATTCATCTAGCTTCTAACACTGGGAAACAATGGCTTTTCAAAACTTCAAGACCAGTAAGGTATTTTCATACCCAGTAGAGCTAGAAGAGAGAGACTAATTAAGATTTCAGGATGTGTGGTTCTTTGTCTTTGTCTCTGGGGAACCCATATTACTTGATAAAGTTCACAGCTGTATTTGGCTTATTAAACCTGAGAAGAAAAAAAGCTTGATTTCCCCCTTATTAAACACTTAACTAAATCTTGACATTTATAAGTTATGAAATTATTTGCTCCCCTTTAGGCTGAGTTCCATCGACATGAAATACCATATCTGGAAGCTGGGAGTTGTTTTCACTGACAACGTAAGTGTCTCACTTGGAAAAGCAAAATTCAGAGGTATAAGTGGACTGATTCTACAGGGAAACAAGCCAGGGGAAAGCCCAGAAAGCTCCAGGGACTGCTTTTCAGAGACCAAGAGCCTTAGGGTGCTGAGGCACACTTCTCCCTTGTGCAGCAGTGTGAGGCTGGTGGGCTTCTCCTGGCAGCCCTCGGATGCTCGTAGCTGGTCAGCACTCACATCCCTTTGTTCTCACTTTGTTCCTGGAAATGGAGGAGGGTGGCTTAATGAGCACATCATGCTGCACAAATGCTTGAGAAGTTGTTGATTCATTTTCCATTTCTAGTCCTTTCTCTACCTCGCCTGGTATACAACCATGTCGATCCTGGGCCACTACAACAACTTCTTCTTTGCTGCTCATTTGTTGGATATCGCAATGGGCTTCAAGACCTTGAGGACGATTCTGTCATCTGTAACTCACAATGGCAAACAGGTACCGGATTTCTACCAATTTGGAAATATGACAACAGGTAGACTATGACAGGAAGGAATAGTGCATAATGTGCCTTTTGGCCAGACACTTGAATGAACAGTAATTGTTGTGTAAAATGTTAGACAATTAAAAATATAACTGTAGTTGTCATGTAAGAGTCATAAGAGCTTGGCTTAGAGACTATTAACACTAAAATCAAATCAGGGGAGCAGATAGATGATGCACAAAGTGATGGGCATCTCCAAATCGATTTGGAGACCTTCATTAGATCTGTCTCTGCAGCTCTGATATACTCCCTGAAAGTTACAAAGTAGCCATGTATAATTAGAACACTCTCCAAATACTTTTGTCACGTGTCCTTAAACAATGAGTTAAAACACATACTTTAATATTTAGTTTGTAAAATAAAAATATAAAATAAATTACTGGATATAGCAATACTAAAGTCCACTAATGGCTTCTTCTTGTCTACTAATTCAAACTGCTTAGCATTTCATTCCTCCAAAGTACAGTTCTTTATATATGAGACTTAGTTGTAGGAGAGGAAGAAAAGGAGGAAATTAAAATATGCCATGTCTTAGATGCTATGACAGTCTCATGACCACCTTGTGAGATTGATGTTATACTCACTTGACAGGTAATAGAACTCAGGCTCAGAGAAGCTAAGCATTTTATTTAAGATCATGCAACTCAGTGGCAGAGATTGGACTCATGCATTAGAGTGGGAGCTGTGTTGTGCATCCCTGAGAACTGCTAGCTCTGTAAAAACAACACGATCTTCTCATTACATCCTCATTCCTCAATCCTTGAGTATTTTTGTAGTTTACAGATATCCAAGCCACGGTTACTCTGCTGGGCTGTCATAACAAACTGTCACCCATGGGATGGAAGTTTATGTTTCCTCCTGCAGGCAGGGCATCTAGTATCAAGGTACTGACAGTTAGCTTACCTTCAAGGCCTCTCTCCTTGATTTGTGAACAGCTGCCCTCTGGTGGAGACCTTTTTACACAACTGTTCCTCTGTGCGCATGCATCTGGTGTCCCAGTCTTTTCTTAAAAGGATGCTAGTGAAGTCAGATTCAGACCCAGTCCATTTCTAACTTAATCATTTCTTTAAAGGCTGTGCCTCCAAACACCATCTTATTCCTGAGGCGTGGCCTTAGGGGTTCAGCATATGCACTGGAGAGAACACGATTCAGCCCAACACTCCATCATTACTTTGTTCAACCAGTATCTGTCCCTGTCTGCCCACTGTGTGACAGCCTCCATCACCACCCTGCCCACCTCCCTTCACTCTTCGTGGGCCTCCCAGTCCCTCTGTTTCAAGTCATTCATGAGCCTCCACAATGGAGACCCTACTTCCTTCCCTTTCCTCTTCGCTTCTCCCCTCCCCCAGCTGGTTCTGACTGTGGGTCTCCTGGCGGTGGTGGTTTACCTCTACACGGTGGTGGCTTTCAACTTCTTCCGCAAGTTCTACAACAAAAGTGAAGACGACGATGATCCCGACATGAAGTGTGATGACATGATGACGGTGAGAGTCCCTATACTACGAGGCCACCATGTCACTCTGCCTCCCCAGGAGAGATGAGCCATAGATGTAGGCTTGGAAAACTATGTGCCAGAACCCTTAGTTACAGTCACATAGAGGCTGGAGCAAAAGATGGCTTGTCCAAAGGGGAAAGTGTACAGGCAAGAGGGCTGATAGAAATAGGTTTCCTTTGTGGGGTCGAAGCCTCCTGGAGAGGGAAGCACACTGCAGTGGGGTCATCATTCAGCTCACTTTACCTGGGATAAGAGATGCCCTTGTGAATGACCCACATCTAGATTTCCTGGAAGAAAACTTACTCTCTTCTTTAAAAAATGACAATAATGTCCATGAATAAAGTACTTGATTTTATCCAGCCAGTAGATTCTTTCAAAGCACCACCAAAGTTAAAGGATCTGACTACAGGGTCACTTTAGGGGAGGTCCCAGCAGGCAAGGCTCCAACTGGAGATCAAGAACAGCTCAGGGTGACCCAGCACTGCTGCAGTAGCATTGCTAAAATTTATTGTGACGTGATTTTAGGAAAACTCTGTGTGTGTGTGTGTGTGTGTGTGTGTGTGTGTGTGTGTGTGGTGTCTGGGACAGGTGGCAGCAAACTGCTCCATGTGAGCATGCCTCTATACAAAAAGGACACTGACTGTGCTTTCCTTATTCCTCCTTGGGACAAACACCTACAAGACAGCAGTACTAGGTTGCAGGGCGCGCATATGACTCACACCTAGCTTCAGGCTCCATAGGCTCTTCCTTTGTCTTTCAAGCAAACACCCTTTCCTGCTGAGTCTAACCCATGCAGTTAGATGGGGAGATGAGGGTGCCCTCCAGTGAGCCAGTGCCCAGTTGCCTACATTGGATCAAATATGCGGCAGAAAGTCTAACATAGGACCCTTATCCAAAATGCTTGGAATCAAAAATGTCTGGATTTTTTTTTTTTCTGACAGAGTCTCCCTATGCAGTTCAGGCTGGCCTTGAGCTCACTTTATAGTCCAGGCTAGTCTCGAACTCACACTGATCCTCCTGTCTCAGCCTCCCTAGTGCTGGGACATTATATGTGCACCACCACACCTGGCTTGATTTTTTCTTTTGATTTTGCAATATTTACATATAGTTAATGAGGTGTCTTGGGGGTGGAACCCAAGCCTGTGAAATTTGTGTTTCACATACATCTTATGCACATAGTCTGAAGGTAAGTTTATACAGTATATTTTGATGACTGCAACCCATCACACTAGGTCAAGTGTGGGATTTTCCATTTGTGGTTGTAGTCAGCTCTCAAAAGAATTTTACATTTTAGAGCATTTTAAAATACAGATTAAAGGTATTCAATTTCTGTCTAAGATGCTGCAGAAATCCTGCCCCTCTAGTTTTATAGGGTATGAAGAAGCAGTTGGAACATTTTATAAGAGTTTATAGCACAGCTAAAGAACTACACTGACACCCCTGAAACTAATCTAGTATAAGCCATACTCACCAACCCTTAAAAGTCTTTCAACTTATGCACCTTAAATGAATCCTGTTGTATCAAATAGTTCAAAACGATCTTTTTAAAAAAATGGACCAAAATACACTTAAGTATAACAATCTTTCCACTGTTGTGAACACCAAACCTAGCAGGGGAACAGTGACAGCAGCATGAAAACCAGCCTGACTGAGGAGTCCCCTGCTGCTTGTCGAGGGCTGTCACCATCTGACCTCATCTTATGAATGACAGGGCCATCTCGCTGGAAACAAACTCAACTCTCTTCGACCTGAATCGCCACTGTTCTTCTCCTAGTGTTACCTTTTCCATATGTACGTGGGAGTGAGAGCGGGAGGCGGCATTGGCGACGAGATTGAAGACCCTGCTGGTGACCCCTATGAAATGTACCGCATTGTCTTTGACATCACCTTTTTCTTCTTTGTCATTGTCATCCTTCTGGCCATCATTCAAGGTACGGTTGGTTGTCAATTGTCTAAGTATGAATAAGGTTTAATCAGGACTTTTCTTCTGTATCAATGACCTGATTTGTAAATTCATTTACTTGTTAATTTAGCATTTACTGAGCATACTATATATGAGGCCGTGGCTATACATAAAAAGCCAAGGTCAGGGATATAGTTCAGCAGTACAGCACCTGGCTGGCAAGTGCGAGGTTGTGAGGTCCATTCCTGGTACCAAAAAAAAAAGCCAAAGATATGCCAAGGCATTGATACAAGAAACTTAAGAATCCACACCAAGGACTTCCTTCTTCCTGTTCTCTATGTGAATCACCCACACTTCGCCTTCCTAGCAAGGTCCTGTGGCTCATCTTGCACAGTCTTTGTCCTCCCAGGCAGTAAAATGAGGAGGAAGCAGAGAGAGAAACTATGCAAATGTCGTATTTTATCATCTTTTGGGGGGACAGGAAGGGGTACTGATATCTTAGTCAGCAGCTTCTCAGAACTGGTGAAAGGAAGATGACGAGGTGGGTTTGAGTCAGGCTGAGCTGGGGAACCTGCACCATACGCAGCCGTTATTAGCTAGAAGCAGTGACAGGAGGACCCTGGGGTCAGGAGACCAGGAAGAGCCCACTGTGAAGTCTGAAAGCATACTGTTGAGCAAAACAGAAGAACGAAAGAATGGTGGAGAGGACAGGATTCTGAGGAGGAACCAGAAACAGCACGCAAGTGGAAAAATAAGAAGCAGTCAAGATACAGCTTTTGAAAAGCAGGATATTTTTCCTAATTTGGCTTTAAATAGTTCAGTTTGTAACTCACTTTCTGGACAAAATGAAGTGCCTTCTTCTACCTCATCTCTCCTATCCCCGGGCCCCCTACACAGAGTATGTTTAAAATACAGTCTGTATTTAAAATTCTAGGTCTTATTATTGATGCTTTTGGAGAGCTGAGAGACCAGCAGGAACAAGTGCGAGAAGATATGGAGGTAATTGTCCAGTAACTCTGCCCTCCTTTTACATCCTGATAGCAGAAAGAGATTTTTTTCAGCAATAGGTGTGGTTAATTAGTTGCCCCTAGGCAAAACTACAAGCGGCGCTCCTTTGCCATGCCTGTCCTCCCCCTGCTCTGTGCCCATCTACCAGCTGTGCCCCCTGCTGCTGCCCTCGCCCCACCACCCCCAAGCCAAGACAGAAGGGAGCCCACTGCTCAGGTAACCAGGAGTGAGGTAGGAGGCTCCGTGCAGTCAACAACTAATAGCCAAGAGCCCTTCAGAGAACTTCATTATTCCCCAGTTCAACATAGACTGTTACCTTTTCTGAAATACTCCTGTTATTTTCTGTAGACTAAATGCTTCATCTGTGGCATTGGCAATGACTACTTCGACACAACCCCTCATGGTTTTGAAACACACACACTGCAAGAGCACAACTTGGCCAACTACTTGTGAGTATTCTTGGTTACCCGAGATGATGCGGGCAGGGAAACTGTTAAGAATTTAAAAAAAAAAATTATGTCCCATGGCTCCATCTCTGTTGATGCCATCTCTTCCCTTTTCTCTGGATAAAGTAGCAGTGATTAGGAACCCCCAGGTGTCGTTAGGAGCCTCGGTCAGATGTGCATCACAAGCTGTTCTCCCTCCCAGCTGGGCGCCTCTCAGCCGTGCCTGGACCATCTCTTCTCAGGGACACACACCCCTGGCCACGTCTTTCTCATCTCAAGTTGTCTTGTTGACACAAACATGCTTTATCTAATCCTCAAGAAAGTCCATTTTTACTTCCAGCTATTGCCCACTTCTTTTTCCCCATCTGCGAAACCTGAAAGCCACCTGGGCTCCATCTCTATTTTGCTTCCCATTTTGCCATGAGTTCCCTCCCCATCCTGTCACAAGACTTGGTCATATCAAGAGGCCAGTGACTCGTACACGGCCAACTTCTGTGGCTAATTTTCAGGCCATCACATCTGTGCACAGCTCCCGTGGATAAACAAACTCTGTAAGAGTGGGCTATTTTGGTGTGTGAATGCTCTACCCTGCATTATTTCAAGTCTAGAACACTGGTGGTGAATCTTTTAGAGCTTTCAATGATGCAAACAGCAACATACCATAGGTCTGCTACCACCGATCTAGAGAAATACCTGGCAGCAGTGGCAAGCAGAAGTGAGTACAGTGGGCCCTTGACTTATGAACTCACTTCTTTGATGAGGGCTGGTTGTTAACTCAAAACTTTTTCCCATAATAAATAATGGAGGGCCAGGGATAGAGCTCAGAGGCACAAGCAACTCAAGGTCCTGAGTTTGATTTCAAGCACCAAAAGAAATAATGGAAATACCCATAACATGTTCTGAACCTCCCAAAGCACTCTGCAACCTTTTCATAATAAAGTTGTATGATGTGCATAAGTTAACAGAAAAATCAGTAATTTTCCTAGTGTATTCACTGAAGAGTACAAAATGTGCTGTTTACCAGAAACAATTCCCTATGTGCTCACCATTCATGCTGATGTCTCTGGCTTACAGGGAGAGAGGATGAAATGAAAGGGGACTGCTTAGAAAGGGAGTCCCCTTCCTTACAACTTCAGAATCTGGCTCTAAGGTGTCCTTTCTCTGCTTGGGAGAGTTTACAGCCCACTAGGTCCTGCTTTTAGCTCACTAGGATGCAACCTTTTCAGAGCTAAAAACTGGTCCAAGGTGGTCTGTTTCTTTTAACACTGTTCTTTTCCACTATGAGTGCTTATTCTATCTCCCCTTCCTAAGCTTCTTTTCTGGCTTTTCTGGGACCATTTTGATAGTAGTAATCAAAATGTTATATAAAGCACTGACCAAAATCACGTATCTGAGCATGTGCATCTGGACTGACAGACACATGTACACTAACGTATGTTTTGGCATCGTGAGTCTTTATTTACAACTGCATTAGCAGCTGGCATTCGAGTTGTAACGCGACTCTCATCGTTAAGTTAGACCCAAAGTTCCAATTGTAACTCAAGTTGTTTACAAGGAGGCCAATTCTAACTCAAGGGTCCACTGTACTGTACTCCTAAGGTAAAGCATTTGCTCAAGAACAAGGTATTGGAGCTTACGTGCCATGGATTGATTCCTATGAAACAACTTAAGAGGATGTATGACATCACAGATTATGTATTTCGGATTCTGTAACTGATCATTTTCAGGAGGAAAAAAATGCTCTGCTCCCAACTGATCTTCCCCACCCCACTACACTGTATTATTTAGAAAGCCCTAACCTGTCTTTAGGATAGCACAGCAACAGCCTTTGTATCAAATAGCATTATCAAAAAGTAGTAGGAAAGATAGGTTTTAAAAAACAGAATTTGAACACCCTCATATCCTGTTAGTCACTTCATTCTCAGGAAGAGAATTCACATTTTAGTGCAGGTAATAAAGTGTACATGCCAGTAAGTGTACACACAGCCTTGTGTCAGCACCAGAGGATTACAGAGGAGGAAGGGCCTTAGTCATCTAAGTTGAGACTCCTTTCCATGACTCCTTGTAGCATTTTGTGGTCTATTTTCTGTGTCTGCCTCATAGGAAATGCTGCTTTAGTTAAATAAATCTGTTAGGGAGGGAATAATGTCCTACTGACCTGGGTCTCAAATATTATAAAGAATACTGACCCTACCTTTTCTTAGTCATGATAGAGAAAACAGGAGAAAACCAGCATTTTAGGAGCTGTTTCTGTGGGCCAGGATCTGAAATATACACACACACAGCACTATCCCGAGATAGCTCACTTTTCTAACAGGATCTTTGAAAACTGTCTGAGACTATGTACTGTCCATGTAATGTGAGTCTAGAGCTTAGCCCTGCGAGAAACTGTGTTACAGACAAACCATGGTTAGAGAAAGTAAAACTACTCTAGCATTTTGCACTTGTCTAAAAGCTTTAAAAAAATACTTCTGTAAGAATGCAAAGCATTTAATAAGGTGAACTCCTTTCTCCATTGTTCATGACTGATATCCTTGAGGTACACATGTGATTTTAAGCCTCCATTTTTAGGAGATGATAAATTGGCTTATTAATTTTTAGAAAGGTTGGGCTATCATTTTAATACGATTTTTAATAAAATGGTGGATAAAACACTACCTTGCCAGCCTAGTATCAGCTCAAGGTTTGTGATAAGAAGAATCTCACCTCACAAGACTTTGCCACACTTCCTGTTTTTAAGGCATAATTTTTTAACCTTGTGCCCAGTTCAACTAAATTCAAAATGAACTTAGGTTTCTTATTAAAATGTCTAATATTTTCTCCGTATGGCTTTTTCCTTTGTTCCAGGTTTTTTCTAATGTATCTGATTAACAAAGATGAAACAGAGCACACGGGTCAGGTGAGAAATAAAACTACTTTAATTCAATACCACACACTTGGAGTACATCTTCGCATCCTGAAGTCTTAGTGCATAAATAGCGACCTAATGACTCCCACCTATTAGGGTCCTGCATGCTTCTTCCATCACCTGTGATTCCAAGGCGACCCTGCTCTGTTCCAGAGGTGGCGAACCTATGGCATGCATGCTGTAGTGGCTGTTTGTATCACTGAAAGCCAGAAAAGGTTCGCCATCACTGGTATTCCAAAGTCCTCACCTTCCCACCATACACTGATTATTTTCCAAGCTCCTGTGGTTATTGCTTCAGAGGAGAATAGCTGGAGTGGGAAGAACATTACCAGAAGACAGCAAGAAGTGGAGTGGGTGGCTGTGTAAAGAGCAGGAAAATGAGAGTGAGACGGTGTGAGAGACAGCGTGAGGCACACAGCGACTTTGTGTGTGGGTATGGACAGGCATGTGGAGGTGTGCGAGAGAGGATGAGTGAGGAGATGTGTCAAAGAGCCTGTGACGAGGAATGAAAAAGAAACACACAGGCAGAGACAATGAAGGAAAGTAGCAGTTCTTCAACCCAGGATCTGTAGGAAACCTTCTCAACTCCAGCACTGAGTCAAGGGGGAGGCAAGGAGTCCCTGTGTCTCACTGTAGCTCTCCAAGCCAGCACAAGGCATCCTCTCAACATCCATTCTCGTGTGGTCCCCCAATCAGGCTTTGGCAAGAGGGAGGGCGGAACACAAAGGGTGGATCTTCCTCCTCTCTGACAGCACTGTGAGGAAGATGAGAATTCTCATTCCCAAAATGAGGGGACCAGGAAGAGAGCAAAAACGAGTGTGCCTGCTGTCCTCGTGTGTCTTCTTGTGCACTGTCCTATGGGAAGCCCAACTTGGTTTGCACTTACGGTGGTGTAAAAAGTGCCCTCTGTTCACATCATTTCAGGAATCTTATGTGTGGAAGATGTACCAAGAAAGGTGCTGGGATTTCTTTCCAGCTGGGGACTGCTTTCGTAAGCAATATGAAGACCAGCTTGGCTAAATCTGAACAAAGGATGTGCCACGATCCTGGATCGTCAGCTTTCGGTGAAATAAAACCCTCCTTTTACAGCTCTGCAACATATTTGATAAGTGACACTTTCTAAATGTCTTCTCTACACGAAGAAATTTGTTACTTTTGTGAGACTTGGAAGTTGATTTGGCTTTTTGTGCCTAATGGACATATAGTGTGGGTGACGACCCATCAAGACGTGAACAACGGAGAAAAGGGGGAGATGGGGAGGAATCTCTGCTTGAATGCCTTCAAAGTTTTTCAGCTCTAATGTAACTAATCTGTTGCAATGGCAGCACTGATGAAAGGGCCAGAAAAGTCTTGAATGTCTAAGACCTAAAATTTTAAACATCTGAATGTCATACAACAGTCTTTCACTAGTGGCTCATGGTCTGAACTACATAAAATCATGTTAACTGCAGCCTAATTTTTTCCCATGGTACTTGCTAGTGACTGTAACCAGAATCAGCTTGAAAAGCTTTAAGCAGTTAATGAAATAGAAAACAAACCAATACTTTGTTGACACTGAAACATTGATTAAGTGCCTTAAAACCTCTTTAGATATAGCTATGCAAGTTTTTTATGTTTGTGCTCCAGAAGGACAGTTCCATTAAATAGTTGTGTTCAGTCTTACTTTCTGAAACTGCACTTGAAGGTTATTCATAATTTTTTCAGTAACAGCTTGCCAATTGCTGTTATTAGAAAAGTACTGTACTGAAAATTCAGAAAAATCTCAATCTTATGCCAAAATTGAATAATGCTTTAGGGTCCCTTGTAAGTAGTGGAGCTGCTATGTTTTAGGTGAATTTCTCAAATAAAATGAAGTGCCCACGGCAATAAAAAGTAGTACATACCAGTCTGTGGTTTGGTCTTTTATAATGTGCCTCTTCTGAGTGATTCTGCAGCCTCAGTGACTGCTGGGGAAAAGGACATGAGACAGCAGCCTAAGGTTTCACATGAGGAAACCAGAAATCTAGGCCAGAGAATCTTAATTTGGTCAAATGCGAGCCTTGTTGCTTGCATATTTCTCCCCCACTTTGGGTACCAGTGATTGAACTCCTGACCTCACGCTTGCCAGGCAGGTGCTTGTGCTGCTGAGCTACATCCCCACCCCGCCTGCATGTGTTCTTACAGTAGGAAGCTCCTGCTATGCTGTAAACATCAAGAGGAAGGAGGAGGGAAATGTCATGGTGACACCTGCCTTCAGGAAATCTATCAGGTTATTAAGCCAGAAAGCAAACACAACAGGCCCCAAACAGGTTTTGTACAGGTATTATTCTAGATGCTGTCAGACAGGCAGGCTGATGCTGAGAGCACGATGCAGCACACCAGCTGGGGGCATGCCGGTACAGCAGCTGGCCCTAAGGACAGCCCGACGCCCACCTGCACGGCGCAGGCAACCCAAGTTTGCTCGGGCGTTGTTGTCTTTAGGAAATCATGCTGTCCAACCAGTCTTCCAGCTCTTCCTCGGTAACACTTTTAGATGTACTTGGTTGCTCAGATTCTGCCTTCTTTTCTTCAGTCACAGACGGCTTTGTGGGAGCTAGGGAAATAAAAGCAGTGTTAACAACCGACATTAATACCAACATCGAGGGCTGAACCTTCCCCAGCGTTGGTTCCACAATATAATTCAGCCCTGGTTATTACCTTCCCGGTAACAACAGGCACATTCTGGTTTTTGTTACTCCCCTAAGGATGATACAGTCACAGCAAGACACATTAATTAATGGGGTAGAGATTTGGTCTCCTATTTATTCTGAAGTTGAATGTCACTTTTCCCTAGTTTTTTATTTTTTACAGACCAATAGCTCAGCATTCTTTTTCATATTGTAGCATTTTTGTAAGATCACTGATGCTTTTCAGGTGAGTTTGTGGACATAGCAGTGGCCTTAGACCTCATCGCCATCTCACCAAACACAACACAAATTAGAGTTGTTCTTTTGTTTCAAATCAGATCAAAATAGCAAGAAACAAGTAGGAAGAATTGGTTTACAACACTGTTCAGACAGTCAATTAAAAGGTCTGCTGCTGAAGAGCTGAGGGCTACAATGAGCTAAATGTCTTTCTACAGCAGAAGTCCAATTGGCAGCTTCAGGCTTAAAACTGCAGTCAGCCAGGTAGCACCTTGGAAGCTGCGTGTATCCAGTGAGAGGGATGGCGTCACAAAGGGGGCTGAGGGATGCGGTGAGGAAGGTCAGTGGGGGAGGGGGGAGCAGTGAGGAAGTCAGCGGACGGGGCAGGGGGGCAGTGAGCACAGAAACAGATGCCAGGGATAACAACGATGGATCCATGTCAGACAGCGAGGGGTGCCTATCAAGGAGGTGGAGGCAGACTTCTACAAAAACACCCGAATGGAGAAAATGCATGGGAACAGTGGAAAGCCATACCTTGTTCCTCTTGCGCCACCTGTCCATCTTTCTCAGATTTCAGGTCCTGAGACATCTCTTCTGGTAAGATGTCGTCTCCCTCTTTTACAGATGCATCTAAATTAAGCAGCAGATCCAGTTCTTCTTCCAAATGGTCTGCTGCTGACTGCAGCAGAGAATTCGGTTTCTGAGAAGCCCCTGAAGGGGCAGGTCTTGGGCTGTCTTTGCCCAGGGACCCAGGGCACCCAGAAGTGGAAGATCTCAGCTCCGAAATGGGGCCCCTTCCTCCAGGCGCCAGGGGCCCCTTTAACTGCATTCCTAGTCCCTTGCCATCATCCTTTCTCTTTGGTTTCACCTGAGGAAGCTCTAAAGGAACCACACTCTGAAAGAGAAGTACAACAGTCACGTTAAAAGTTCGAGTCTTACCATATTGGCTTAGATGGAAACACAGGCCATCCAACTTTGCATGAGGGAAACTCCATTCAGACTTCCCAGAATGTCTGCCAGCGGGACCCTGGCGTAGCAGCCTTCCTGAACTCAGAGGCAAAGAGGGAACTCAGGACCACATAGGCCTGTGTCACTTTTCCTCCTCAGCTTCTGCTAGCTGGCTCAGAGTTGGAATCCACGGGCCCATGTCTTCCTAGCACTGGAGTGAAGGCTAACCATACATAGGTCTATTTGAATGTGTATTTCAATCTGTAATAACATAGACATCTGTAAAAGTCACCAAGAAGTAACTAGGAATGCAGGCCAGTTCATTATATTTAAATGTGTTAACATAAAAGGAGCAGAAAAATTCCCCAAGAAGTAAGTAATGACTCTCAGCAACATTATTTGAATAAAATGTGCCAGACAAGGAAAAAAAACATACTATTTGATTTGTTTGGGAAAAAAAGGCAAACTTATAGTATTGGAAGCCAGGACAATGGCTGTCTTTCAGACAGACGGGGACCCAGAGAGGGTGTGAGCAGTGCCTTCTGGGGTGCTGAGTACATGGTGGTAAATATGCGAGTGTGTACTTCTCCACAGCTGTGTTACACTCTAAAGAAAGTTAAAACACTTCCCGGGCTGCAATCTAAAGACCAGAATCCCGCTTGGAAGAGAAGGCTGCAGGGCTAGAATGAGGTTCAGCCTCTACAGGGAACTGATCCCTTGTCACTTGGCCCTATATACACAAACGACTAAATGTCCAGCACTGAGCACTGCCCAGGACGAAGATGGGACATGGCCCTCTTCTAGTCCTAGCGTCCTTTAACCTGGGGTGTCTGGCTGCTTTGTTTCATTTTGCGCTTCCTAGCTGATTCTATCATGTAAGCAGACTGAGAAAATTCCTCCAGGGCATGGTGAGAGAGGCGAGAGTCTTCCTGTTATTTTCTCCATTTCTAATCCTGTTAATATCACCTCTGAAATCCCTCTTGGTAAATCCACTTGTCTGCTGCTCACCTGGCCCCACGCCAGTCCCACGCTGGGCCCCTTCTCTGTCCCCTCTCAGGCAGTCATGCACATTTCCAGCCCCCTGTTCTGCTGCCAGAATGTGGGCTGTCATCACTGTCCTTGTTAAAGCGGACCTGACTGATGCCTCTCCTTCAAATTTCAGCTTACATGTTCTTAAGCGGAGGTCTGCAGCTCCTCAGTCACCTCTGGGGGAAAGCTGTGCCCAGTCATTCCCCAGCATATCAGGCTCACTACCACACCCTCTCAGAGCGCACTGTACTTCACAGGACCTGCTAAAGTTGGTATACACACGATGACTACCACTAGTAACTTAACTAACATCCACCCTGGCTAATCACATTCCAGGAAGGCAGGAACCCCCCGTCTGCTCACCACTGTGTTCCTAGTGCCTGACATAGAGCCTGCCCTATTTTGAGTAGAATGAGAGACTAAACATTTGATTCACTTTCATTACACTTGATCTTTTAAAATGTTTCAAATGTAAAACATAAAAGTGACTTTAAAAAGAAACCTTCAAACTTTGCAAGATGATTTCTTAATATAAAACCTTCAGTTTAGGAAACAGACATTCCTTTTTTTTTGAGACATCCTACAGAGGGGTGTCTTCCCTCTAATTCTTGGGTTGCAACACAAAGTAGTTGATAGGTACCTTTGGGGGTTTTTACCTGGATCAACTCAGCAGCCACATTGAGTCGGAGTGAGAGAGGCAGTTCTTGAAGAGCTTGGACCAGTGACATACTATCCACATAAAGTGCTGAGTTCTAAATCCATGTGTTTTTAAAAGAAAGAAAATAGCAGGTGATGATTAAGTATGATCTTTTGAAAATAAAAAAAAAACTGTACACTATTTACTAACATTCATTTTGGCTGGGACTAAATGGGATCATAAATCACACTTGGAGGACAGCAATTTCACTCTGTAATCTGAGCACTCTAGGAAGCTGAGGCTGGAGGAGGGCAGGCTTGACCACAGCCTGGGCAAATTGGTAACTTAATGAGACTCTGCCTTAAAATTAAAACAAAAAGTAGGGCCAGAATACAGCTCAGTACAAACACCTTGGTTCAATCCCAGTAATCCCTAGCACCACCACCCCCAAAAAATCAAAACCAGAACAACCTTCTAGAAGCTCCAACTCACACTAGCAGAGCAGTGAGCACCTTGACATCAAGATGTCACAGGAAGCTACAAACTGTGGAAGCTTTTGCAATTACTGGAAAGCTGAAAGAAAACTAAACATTTCATGAAGTTTAACTGGACACCTCCCTTATGTTCAGATCGATGGCCCTGGGAGGAGGAGGAAAGAGCAGGTCAGACAGTGAGATGGGGCTCAAAGGATTCCTGAAGGAGCTGTACAAATTAAGCCTCTTTCAATCAGGAAGCAGAGAATGGACTTTCCTCTCTAGCCACCAGCACTCTGTATGGTGCCATCACTAAAAGCTTCTTTTAACTCCTTTCTTACTCATAAAGGAAAGTGGTATTGATGGACTGACCTCTCTAATTGACTGTGTGAGAACACATTCCAGATAATCTCCTGGTCCCTAACAGCTACCTGTAAGGGGGTCCTGGGCACCAAAGAGAAGCGAAAACCTAAAAGGTGATCACAATGATCGCACAGAAAGGCATACATCATCCATCACCTGTGGCTGGCCACTCTGTCAAAGGTCCAGTTAGCACCATGTCTTATCCTATAGTCCCTAACTTCAAGTTGAGGAAAACCCAGGGTCACCTAGTTTAATTTGTACTGTAAGAATGTCTCAAGTCAATGAGTTTACACTGACAAGAGATGCTGACACATTGCTGGTAAGCTTCAGCAAAGCCCTGCCCCTAAATCCAGACCCACAGTAGCCACCAATCACAGGAGAATCAAAACAAGTAATCTGGCTTCTCATTGCCCATTTTCAGTTGTCCCGAGACAACTCTTAGGTAAGCAACCTTGGCAGTGCCAAATGAGACTCTCTACCTTAGAAAAGGAAATTTAAGTTTAAAAAGTAGTTTACTTAAGGAACAGAATGAAAAATAATTAAGCCCTGTTAAGAACAAAAGGCAGTCCAGACATGACCAGCCTATTCTTTTATCCTGCATTCACCACAGCAAGTCCTGTGACCAAAACCAACATGGGCAAGTCTCTGTTTGCAAGGCTGGAAAATCCCTCCTGACACAATGGAATGCTGGGATCCTAAATACTTAACCCATGGGGAAGCTGCCATATAACAAACTGGAAACCCCACACTGCCCATAGCAACATGCCTGCAAAGTCACAATATGTAGAAACCCTTCTATAAACCAATGGGGACTTTTGTGACATGTTAAGTTTCAGCTACAAACATCCAAATTTCCTCTGACCTCTTTTCCATCATACGCAACATGATAACATGGTACCCTGTGAACAAGCAAGTTGGTATGACTGAACAGGGAACCAGGGAGTCCCCTGACTGTGTTTATGGGCCAATCCCCGGTGGCTATAGTCCCCCACTGGGATGTCTTCCCCCACGCTGCTAATTCCCTCCTTCACCCAGTGCCCATGCAACTTCATACTGTTACAGACTTTAGCAGACCTGACAGAGGCCCAAAACAGCATGCTTTTCCAGCTAAAGAAATAAACACCTCAACGTACAACATATTAAGAATCACTTATTAAGTTTTGCAAAAAAAAAACCACAGGGCTTCTACTTCTATAATAAGGCATATTGCATTCTTGGGTATAGCCCATGGGTATCACAAAAGGAAATGCTTGGGCTGAGACCTGATTTTGTTAGGAAAGAAATTCATACACAAGAAGTTCTAAGTTTCCAACATAAGTAAGGGCCATTGAGAGAATACAGGCCCTCTGACAAGAACAAGGCAGACATCTGGCAATTGGAAAGCAAGCTTTAAGAAACCTATTGATAAGCACCATAAACCACCATTGTTTCCTGTGCGTAAACAGACATCCAAACTTGCACTCAACATAGATGTCACTGGCCACCTTCTCATCAAAGGCATTTGTTATGGCTTATTATCTAGATGTCCCCCTAAACCTCATGTGGTAAGAGGTGGGGCTTTTCCAGAGGGGCTGGATCTACAGTGTGTGACTGATTCATGGTATAATGCTAGGACTAAGGGTGTGAGTACTGTTTGCTCTAAGGGTAGACAGCCTGAATAAAACATGAGGGACAGAAAGAGGCTTACTGCAGATTCAATCTATAGCCCACATGACCATTTATGTGTCTTGACTGAATTCTTTCATCAAGGGCGCAAAAAACCAAGGAGTGAAGAACAGTGCTTCACAGCAACAGGCCAAACTCCCCAGTGACCATACCACCCCCACAGTGCCTTCAAGACACTTCAAATCACAGGGTTTCTCCTGTCTCCTTGCTGGAATTCTGGGGCCACAACCCACCAAATATTGCTAAGACCATCTATAGTTTATCACTAATCTATCCCATAACAGCTAAAGCTCAAGACCGTGGATATAAAGTAAGCTGCCATGAATTGATTTGTAATACTAACATGTAATTTTAAAAATTGGTTTAATTGGAATAACCACCATAAACTGGTTTTTGTTATATGCCTTAAAACAACCGTAATAGGAAAATATCAAGTTATATCATAAACAGGTACAAATTCTCTATGATGAATGTGATCATTATGTATATCTAAAATGCACCAATAAAATCTGATTAAAAATAAATACCAATTTTAAAAAACAATAAAAATAAAATTATTGTTATGGTTTAGATCTAAAATGCACTCCTCCCCACCCCGTTTCTTGTTCAGAGGTGAAGCTTTTGAAAGTTAACTGAATCACAGGAGTACTATACTCAGTGGTGCACCAACCCACCAATGAGCTCACAGCTCAGTGTACTACTAGGAGGTGGGGCCTGCTTAGAGGCAGATCACTAGGGGCGTAACCTAAAAGGCTGTTTTCTTGTCCCCAGATTATCTATTTTTTTCTCTGCTTCTTGGCTGCTATAGGTTAAACAGTTTTCCTCCACCATGCCCTTCTGCCATACCATCCCCTGCCTTCAAGCCAACCATGGACCAAAGCCATCTAAATTGTGAGCCAAAGTAAATTTCTCCTTCTTTAAAGGTACTATACATTTTGTTCCAGTGACAGAAAAGTGACTAATGCAAGATTGGTACCAGGACTATGATACTTACAACTGTACCTCATCATGTGGTTCAAATGCCTTTAAAACTGGTATGCAGAAAAAGTTTTAAAAGGTTTGGAACTGTAGGCTTAAAAAGCCCTAAGATGCCACAAGCAGAGCTTTACTGATGATTCTCTTTCAAAATCAAAAAACCAAAATGCAAACTGTAAAAGCCAGGCTCATGAGGTTTCAGTTAAAACTAGGACTCTATTAAAAACGGAACTAGAAGCAATCCATGTTTCATTTTGAGAAGTAATTTGTCTCTTTTATCCATGTCCTAAAACTTTATAGGAGACAAAGTCTAAAGGTGGCAGACAAATTAATCCTGACAGAAAAAAATTTCAAGACAGCCCAACATTTAGAATGTGACATGGACAGTAGTGGCTATTTTTACCCAGATCTACAATGAAAATGAGTACAAAATACAGCGTCAAAAGCAGTAAGAATTTTGCACCTTGGGAAAAAAAGCTACCCCAAATGGCAGGGGGGAAACCACCATATAAAGTTGAGGCCAAGAAAAATATGGCTACCAAAAAAATACAGTCAGTTTAAAAAGTCAAATGAGGGGGATGGGGGTTTAGCTCAGCGGCATAAGCACCTGCCTTGAAAGCAGGCAGTCGTGAGTTCGATCCCCGGTACCAATTAAAAAAAAAAAAAAGTCAAATAAAAATGTCTTAGGGGGAATCTCAAAAGTTAGTCAGACTACACTCATCATAGGTTCAAGGGTGTAAAACTCCATTAAAAGACTGCTTAAAAGAAAGGTACTTTGCTCATACAAAGCCACTAGAAAAGTGTGTCTCCAAATTCAGTCATCGAGGCACTAGGGATAACTGCAGCCTTAGTCCAAGGGAGCCTGACTACTGCTTAAGCATCATCCGTGTGGTACTAGTTCTGCTGACGTGGAGCACACAAGAGTCATGGGATCGTGGAGGCTTTCACACAGATTTTTTTTTTTAATTTAAAGAGATAAAAAAAAACAACAGAAAAAAAGAGGTAGAAATAATACAGAATTTCAAAAAAAAACAGTAAGAAATCACTAGTTGATAAGTTACATATTGTCATCTTAGAAATAGTTGCTCAAGTTACAAAGTTAAAGCATACAAAGTGACATTCAAATAATGACACTACAAGCAGTTCTGTCCAATGATCCAACAAAAACTTAGTAATATGATTATCAGTCATACACACTTGTTTTTTAGCTTAAAGAGAGTAAGATGAAACATGTCAAAATAGAACAAAACATTTCATAAGGTAACAATTTAAAGAAACGCAGACTTCATAGCAAGTCCACTGGAGATCTTCACTATCTATCTTATTGTCTCTAGTTTTCTTCCAAATAGATGTCCCCATCTTCACATACAGAACTAATCAAATCATTACAGGATGATGAAGGCTTTTTAGGTCTTCAAGACCTAATTCTGGGGAAGTCAATAATGGCTACCATAATGTCTCTCATTCTCTTCATAGTAGCTGTCTTTATCTTTACGTATGCCAAAATTGAACATAAGAGACTAGACTAATATCACTCTGAACAGTGAATAATAGTATTGCTAGATTTTATATCATAGTGCTACAGAATTAGCACTGGGTATCTTAGTGTCTCTTCTTCAGAGTATCTGGTCATTACATT